CGACGCCGGGGAGGTTCGGGTGGGCTCCCGGGTCAAAACGACGCCGGGGAGGTCCGGGTGGGCTCCCGGGCGTCGTTTTGCCCGGCCGGGTCAAAACGACGCCGGGGAGGTTCGGGTGGGCTCCCGGGTCAAAACGACGCCGGGGAGGTCCGGGTGGGCTCCCGGGCGTCGTTTTGCCCGGCCGGGTCAAAACGACGCCGGGGAGGTTCGGGTGGGCTCCCGGGTCAAAACGACGCCGGGGAGGTCCGGGTGGGCTCCCGGGCGTCGTTTTGCCCGGCCGGGTCAAAACGACGCCGGGGAGGTTCGGGTGGGCTCCCGGGTCAAAACGACGCCGGGGAGGTCCGGGTGGGCTCCCGGGCGTCGTTTTGCCCGGCCGGGTCAAAACGACGCCGGGGAGGTTCGGGTGGGCTCCCGGGTCAAAACGACGCCGGGGAGGTCCGGGTGGGCTCCCGGGCGTCGTTTTGCCCGGCCGGGTCAAAACGACGCCGGGGAGGTTCGGGTGGGCTCCCGGGTCAAAACGACGCCGGGGAGGTCCGGGTGGGCTCCCGGGCGTCGTTTTGCCCGGCCGGGTCAAAACGACGCCGGGGAGGTTCGGGTGGGCTCCCGGGTCAAAACGACGCCGGGGAGGTCCGGGTGGGCTCCCGGGCGTCGTTTTGCCCGGCCGGGTCAAAACGACGCCGGGGAGGTTCGGGTGGGCTCCCGGGTCAAAACGACGCCGGGGAGGTCCGGGTGGGCTCCCGGGCGTCGTTTTGCCCGGCCGGGTCAAAACGACGCCGGGGAGGTTCGGGTGGGCTCCCGGGTCAAAACGACGCCGGGGAGGTCCGGGTGGGCTCCCGGGCGTCGTTTTGCCCGGCCGGGTCAAAACGACGCCGGGGAGGTTCGGGTGGGCTCCCGGGTCAAAACGACGCCGGGGAGGTCCGGGTGGGCTCCCGGGCGTCGTTTTGCCCGGCCGGGTCAAAACGACGCCGGGGAGGTTCGGGTGGGCTCCCGGGTCAAAACGACGCCGGGGAGGTCCGGGTGGGCTCCCGGGCGTCGTTTTGCCCGGCCGGGTCAAAACGACGCCGGGGAGGTTCGGGTGGGCTCCCGGGTCAAAACGACGCCGGGGAGGTCCGGGTGGGCTCCCGGGCGTCGTTTTGCCCGGCCGGGTCAAAACGACGCCGGGGAGGTTCGGGTGGGCTCGCGGGCGTCGTTTTGCCCCGGGCAAAACGACGCCGGGGAGGTTCGGGCGGGCCCCCGGGCACCGAAGATCCGGGACGCTTGCGTCCCGCACTCCCGGTGCCTCGACCGAAGATCCGGGACGCTTGCGCACGCAAGCGTCCCGCACTCCCGGTGCCTCGACCGAAGATCCGGGACGTAAGCGTCCCGCACTCCCGGTGCCTCGACCGGAGATCCGGGACGCTTGCGCACGCAAGCGTCCCGCACTCCCGGTTCCTCGACCGGAGATCCGGGACGCTTGCGCACGCAAGCGTCCCGCACTCCCGGTGACTCGACCGGAGATCCGGGACGCTTGCGCACGCAAGCGTCCCGCACTCCCGGTGACTCGACCGGAGATCCGGGACGCTTGCGCACGCAAGCGTCCCGCACTCCCGGTGACTCGACCGGAGATCCGGGACGCTTGCGCACGCAAGCGTCCCGCACTCCCGGTGACTCGACCGGAGATCCGGGACGCTTGCGCACGCAAGCGTCCCGCACTCCCGGTGACTCGACCGGAGATCCGGGACGCTTGCGCACGCAAGCGTCCCGCACTCCCGGTGACTCGACCGGAGATCCGGGACGCTTGCGCACGCAAGCGTCCCGCACTCCCGGTGACTCGACCGGAGATCCGGGACGCTTGCGCACGCAAGCGTCCCGCACTCCCGGTGACTCGACCGGAGATCCGGGACGCTTGCGCACGCAAGCGTCCCGCACTCCCGGTTCCTCGACCGGAGATCCGGGACGCTTGCGCACGCAAGCGTCCCGCACTCCCGGTGCCTTGACCGAAGATCCGGGACGCTTGCGCAGGCAAGCGTCCCGCAAAACGACGCCAGGGAGGTTCGGGTGGGCTCCCGGGCGTCGTTTTGCCCCGGTCAAAACGACGCCGGGGAGGTTCGGGTGGGCTCCCCCCGGGCGTCGTTTTGCGCGGGGCAAAACGACGCCGGGGAGGTTCTGCTGGGCTCCCGGGCGTCGTTTTGCCCGGGGCAAAACGACGCCGGGGAGGTTCGGGTGGGCTCTCACAGGGGAGCAACGGGCAAACCTGCTTCTTGCTCTACGCGAGCGTCCTGGTGGAGGCGCGGACGCAAGCCATCGACCAATTTGAAAACTTAGGCAGGTCACAATCCGCGAAATTTCAAAATTTTATTTTTATTCTTGTTCATCTCAAGTGTTCCGTAACTGGCGAATAAACTTAAACCTAGCACTACGCAACTCAGTGAATACCAACTAGCTGCGTGGTTATCTTCCAATTTCAGGTACGCTAGTTGCTCTCTTTTCGCAACCTTACCCACTTGCTTTTCAAATTTTATTTCTATTGTACTTATTCCCAAAAATCCGCGAAACTTTAAAATTTTATTTTTATTTCACGAAAAACTCCAATAGTAATTTTTATCCCGGAATGTTGGCTCTCATCATCTGTCAGGTAACCAGCGCCCTCCATATCAAACGGAAATATCCCCCCTCCCCATATCGAAACGAAATTTCTGATGCTGGATTTGCGTACGCAAATCGGGTCTGTCTTGCTGGAGAGGACTGGAGGCATATGCCAAGCCTGAGGCGAGAGGTTTGGACGTAGGCGACTAGCACGACAGATGTCGGCTCTGTAAGCCCAACAGCATCACAAACCGCCTGCCTAATGCGGCGGGCTCTCTGGCTTTCTTGTCTTCTTGCAAGACAAATGTGATTTGTGACCTCAAATCAGCAACGCAAATTTTCGGAAACGTACCTTTTCAATATGGGGAGGGGGGATTTTGCCTCACAATACTCCAGGTATTGTGTTCAAACGCGAGGACACTGCGTAAAACAACCACTGAGGCTGAAGGGTTGTTCAAACGGTCGTCCAGGATGAAACACGGCTACTGCCTCCCGCCCATCATCCGCGCTGCCGCGATTCTACGCGTCTTCCCCCTGATCAGCCTGAAGACCTCGCCCACGACCCGGCGGAAAGAGTAAGTAGTTGCCCCTCTTTGTGGAGCCGGGCGGAACTACCCGTATCAGAAACAGAACCAAGCCAGAGATTTGCGCAAGAAGAGCGAAGGAAAATGTACATCAAGCTACTTGCATTGTGATTGCAGCAGCATCAAGTCGTGGTTCCAACAGCGAGAAAAAGAATGTGTAACAACTTCTTGCGCTCTTATACTTTTTAATCACCCAGACTGACAGACAAGTTGGACGTGTTCGGGTATAGTTTTATTATACCTCCGCTGCCATTGCCTCCTGCGGACGGAAACAAGGTTGACTATCGCGGGGAGAAACAATCTCAGTTTCAACTTGCAAGAATGTGGACACTGTGTGGGGCAGTCACAGTTTCTTGTCATGCTCGATATAATAGGCCGCATTTAAGATGCGTCCTTTCCTTTATGCGTGTGACGCAACACCACGACAGAGGCAGAGCTGTCGTGTGAACAATTGGTACTACCATTGCAGCTGACTCTCCAAATGTTTGCGACTGAGACAGTTTTTTCCCTAGGATATTGATATGAACTGCAAAAGTATCGCACTCGTATAAATGCATTACAAATTTCCTCAGCATGAGAAATAAAATTTGTAATGCTCATGCACCTTAAGAAAAAGATTTGTAATGCATGATTGCAATACGAGTACGATACTTTTGCACAGGATAATTGACGCGGCGATGTTGTTTGCAGAAGTCGAACTTGTATCGCAAGAAAAAACTGCTTCGCTCTGAACTTGTGATGCAGTTGCACTATTTCTATTGCAAAGGATGCCTGCGTATTCTTGTTTGTCTTGCTATGAATAGAAATACTTTGCCAGGACACAGATCCTGCTCCTGCGAAGTTTGCGTCACAGTGAAGAAGTTTTTTCGTGGAATACCTCGTGGGTGACGGATGCGCTCCGACCCCACTGCCAGCAGAGGAAGAAGCTGCGGTGCCGCCGTCGCTCAGCGAATAGTACTCCATTTTTTTCGCATTCAACTCTCGGTAAAAATCGTCGACGTCCTTGTAGCAGGAGATGTTACTCGTCGTACTAATTGCGCCGTGTCGCCCTTGCTTTGTAGTACAAGTTGCGAACGGCCCTTGCCTGTTCCTCTGGTGTTCTTGATCCTGGTTTAGTATTCCTCCCGTTTGTTCAACGTCGTCTTCTTGTTCGATCGGAGCCGAGCTCTTGAAGTGCTGGACGTTTTCCAATTCGAACCCCGTTTGCAAATTCTCCACGAACTGCTCGTGCGAGTCAAGTTGGATTTCATCCTGGACGCCAACATCTGCGGACGCGGAGGTCTTATTCCTATTTGTATTTCTTTCCATCGGACTCGGAGTTGTCGTGGTCGCATTATTTTTCATTCGGATCATACCACCGTCGGTAGTAGAAGTACTGGAGGGGTTCCTCGTGCTCTTGTTAAGTTCTTCCGATTTCTTCTTGGCAAAAGTTCCGTTTTTTTTCAAATTGGAACTGGACGAACTCCGGATCGTCTGTCGGCACTTTTCTTTATGCAAAGAAATAGATGATGCAGTTTTTAGTAGTACCTATGAGTAGAAGTGTTACACGCTTGTGCTGCAGATGAAGATTTTTTAGCAATACGGATTGACTCAGCATGCACATAGCAGTTATGCGGGCATCATATACGTGAGCTGCATGGTAGAGCTTTTTCTGTCTCAGTTGTTCTGCACCACAGTGTGTAGCTGAAGTGGCACTTCTTAACTGCACTTTTCTCTTGTGATATTCTTCCAGCGGTTGCCAGTAGTTCCGAATCCACTGCGTCCGGTTTTTTTCCAGCAAACTGGTCCGGTTTTCCATCCACTTTCTGTACAGAAACGAGTTGTCCGAGGCGTCTAGAACCGGCACCTTCGCTAGCACGAGCGAGGCGTTTCCTTGGCTCGTCGAGAGGCTGGCGGTTGTGCCCTTGTGGTTCCCCCCAGCGCCACCACCCCCCGCCTGGTCAGTTTGCTTGGTGTGGAGGTGCTGGTCGTGCAGCCCAGTAGAGAGTATTGTTTACAAAAGTTGTCTCTACTTGTATCGCACTTGTGGTAAGTGTAGCACTTAGAAGACGATCATTATTTGCTAGTGGTGACATCAACTTAATCAACATTTTATATGCGACCCCACTGCACACAGGGAACATCGCTACAACAGCTTTCTTCCGTGTCGCATCCACCGCTTGTGTGTTGTCCTAAATCTTCAGTACTGAAGAATAACTATTGGCAAATAACGAGACTCTCGAAAGTCTTGAAAAAATGCGCACCAGATCTTGTTCTGTACTAGTGCAATACTTGACAACATGATGAACGTTGATGTCCATTGCATAAAAAGCGAAGACTTATTGTTCCTTGATTTGCTGCCTGGTTTCGAGGTAGTTCTGCCACCCGCTTCCCCCGTCGCCGATGTTTGGTCACTACAACTCCCACCCCCCTGATGGGGCTTCACTGCTACCCCGCCCAATTGCGGCGTCATCAAGGTCAGCGACGGCGTCCCGTGCGCCGACTGCTGCTCTTGGGCTACGGAAGGTACTACCGCATCTGCTCCACCGCGGCCAACGACCTCGAATATCAAAGTGAAAAAAGCCCCCACCCCATATCGGAAACGGAAGATGCGCGAATTTGTGATGCTGTATTTGAGTACACAAATCGACTTGTATTGCTAGAAGGCCAAGAAACGAAGCTGCGGCCTAAATTGCAGGTAATCTGTCATGCTGTTTCCCACTTCCAGTTGCCTCCTGTCATCCTGGAGCTGCGAGGCTTTCCCGCCACGCTAGGCAGCACTACAGTCCGCATCTTTTGCCTTCTAGCATCACTAAGCTGATTTGTGACCACAAATCTGCATCACAGATTCCCGTTTTGGTATGGGGAGGGGGCATTTTTCATTGTAATATCGGAGCTGTTGTGTTCATCCTGTTCCTGGACAACCATGCTGTTGCTCCTCGACGAGTCGACGCCACCATTCCGACTCCCACCCGTTGCTCGGTCCTGGTGCTTCGGAGTTTTCAGAGAAATACTAGAGCCGGCGGCACCTGCTGTGCTTCCTTTCGTGTTTTGCCGCGATAGGCCGCCCCCCTTGTAAGGATGATGATGGGCCGCGCTACCGCCGCCACTACCCCCAGCACGAAGATGATTGTGATTCACAGTCCCGTATTCTGTGCAAAAGTATCGTAGTCGTATAAATCGCATGACAAATTATTAGCTCAGCATGACAAATGGAATTTATCATGCTGTTTATGTTTTACCTTGGGATGAAGATTTGTAACGCATGACTGCGATTACTAGGAGTACGATACTTTTGCACAGGATATCCCGCCCGCGGAGCTGGTTCCGAGCGGTAAAAACTTTGTCTCAAACTTGTTTCCCACTTTTTTGTCGAAAATGGACAAGTATTTTTCCATGTCCCCTGACTCGATGGAGATGCTGTTTTGCTCCATATGCATTGCAAAAATGTCTGGGTCTGGAAGAGTCGGGGATTGTCATGCACATTTTGAGGGCTTCTTCTTCTGGCGCTAGCATCACAGATTTTTTGAGGGCTTCTTCATGCTAATTACGCATGAGAAATAATGTCCTCTCCGCGTGCCAAGAACTGACTCCTCTTGCTGCTCATGCAACACAGATACTTTTAGAATTCGCAGACAGCATTACAAATTGCATTCTTCCAGACCCAGACACTTTTGCATTTGATACTCCAAGTTCTGAATCAAAAACTCCCGCGCGTTTTCCAGAATGGAAAACACCTCTTCTTCAAAATGCTCGTATCAAATGTAAAAATGTCTGGGTCTGCAAGAATGCAAGTCTGTCATGCAGGTTTTACATGACCCATGAGGTCTGGAATGCAGGACCTAGCATGACAGATTCTGTGAGATCTCTGGCATGCATTTCCTGCATGAGAAACTGCCTCCCAACTTGGACAAAAGTGGACAGCTTTTGGGAATCATGCAACACAGATTTTTGCATGATTCAGACCTGGCATGACAAGTTGCCATGTTCCAGACCCAGACATTTTTGCAATTCATAGCTCGGAGGGCAGGACAATGTCGCGACTGATACAGCCCCCAAAATACTCCAGCGCGCCCTTGATGCACCGCTCGCCTGCGAGCTGAGTCAGCAGCTCTTTGTGGGTTGGAATTACCTCGGACAGAGAGACTTGGTTGTTGTAGGTGGAGGTATTAATGTCTCTTGTTGGCGCCCCCGAGTTGTAGTTGCCACTTGAACTACTTGTAATTCCACTTGATGTTCCAGAGCCTCCTGTAGAAGTGGTGTTTTTCAACCTGGTCGAAACCGCATTCAGGTATCGTTTCAACAAAGCTGCCAGGTCTGCCCCGGTCAGAAGTTTATTATTGCCGTGGGAGGACGTGGAGGCTGAAGCTCCTACCGGGGAAAGATGAGAAGTGGTTCCAGCGAGCGTTGTAGTTGATTTCGCAGAAGATGAACTGGTGATCGGCAACATGGGAGGTTTGTTCGATAGCGATTGCGATTGCAGGATGTTTCCAGCTGTTAGAGTACCACTAATACACGAGGACGACCCCTGAGGTGACAAGGTTGTTGATGAAGCAGAGCCTGGCGCTGCAGTAGTTCCTCCTACAGTTCCACCGCTTGACGTTCCTGCCTCCAGCGCCAATTGCGGCTGTGGATCGTGACGCCCCCCGCTTGCGCCGCCCCTCTGGTTCCGCGCCGCGGTGGCCACGGTCGAAAGCTGCACACCCACGCAAAAGGACTTCTCGCGCAGCAGAGAAAAGAGTCGCTTTTTGAAGGTCTTGAACTCAGCGGCAGTTGGATTAAACGAACAGGAGGAAGAAGTTGTAGAACTTTTATTTGCTGCAGTTGTACAACTATCGTCACCGCAGAAAAGCGGAAAGAGTTCGTAGCAGTGGTACCCCGTTTCGAGCGTGTGCAGTGCCTTGTGCGACAGCTTCTCCTTGATCTGAGCGAGTGCGGCGGTTCTTGCGGCTTTCTCTTGCTCTTGCGCAGCTAGTGCAACACCCTCCCGGGTGGAAGACGAAGAAGTAGAAGACAATAAACCCGCGGCCCTTGATGACGCTCCTGTGCCAGTAGCGATGAAGAGCGCCGCCTTCTTAGGGGACCGGGCGTCAGCTAAAAGGCGGGACGTATCGAGCTTGGTGTTGTTCAGGTCAGCGATAGCACCACCGGTTGTGCTTGCGTGTGCCAACGACTCAGAGTGGAAAGACAGCGCGCCATTGTTGTTCTTTTGCTGCGGTGAGACGACGGTGCTAGATGAGCCACTGTTGACGGAAAGGTTCGTACTATTCGATAGCATCGCATTTACATTTTGCAGATGATGGTGCTGGTGCCCCCCAAGAACATGCGCTCCGGCGGGGGAACAAGCTGACGTTGACGTCTGCTGCTGGAGAAACGGACTTCCGCGCTGCAGTTGTCTGGTGACCCGCAATAAAATTTCCAACAGCTCCGCGTCCGCCGTTTCGAGGAATTTCTGGTGTGCTTGCCGTGCTTTCAGCTCCGCGTCGTCTTCGGAAGCATCTGGGAGAGGAAGAAAAGAAGATTCGACACTTCCGCATGTTTTCAAAATGCACACATCCGACAGAAGGAGCGTCAAAGCGCAAAGCAGCCAGCTGTAGGTCGTGTTACCGCAGCATGCAGGTGGAGGGGCAAGAACTTCTCCTCCGCGGTTTTTATCCTGCTCGTCGGTTGTATTCTTCACATTCGTTGATGTCGATGTTGTCGTCGTTGTAGCAATCCCTTCGACGTCGAGATACACAATGGTCAAATTGGGATTCCGTGGGTGCGGGCGTGCGTAGGCCCAAATGCCGGCGGTGGCCTTGTAACTATTCTTGTTTACGACCGGGCTGAGTGCTGTCGTGTTCTTGTTTTTGTTGTTGCCCACGTTAGCCGCGCTGGGACTATGGATGTGTCAGAGTTGAAATCGACAAAGTTGAAAATGAAATACTTAATTTGTCATGCATAAAATGGATGCCAGTTGGAACCCAGTTGCCAAGTGGCGCATGACAAATTTCGGTGGTCCCTAAATTCAGTTTGTCATGCTGTTCAGGCAAAGAAGAGCGATTTTCTCATGCTACTTTAGCAGCTCGAGCTGTAACCCCAAACAGGCTTACAATCGGCCTCACTTGCCTGCTCTGCAACACACGCACCTCGGGTCATGCATTTTATGCATTACAGATTATTTCAACTGTGACGATTTCAAACCTGACGCTTCCATAGGGACTCGGAACAACAGCGCCGGGGAAAACTGCTCCCCCGTGCGTTGACGTTCCACCTACTCCGGCTCCTGTCGCGCCACTGCTACTGCTGGTGCTGCTGCTGTGTTCTTGAAACAAGCTCTTCAACAGGTCTGTCTTGCTGGTTGTGTTCGCTGTTGTACAACTACCAGCGTAGAAGTTGTTGAGCGACCCTGTAGTAGAGGTAGTGTTCTGTGGTCGTCCCACCGCACCAGCATTATCGTAAAATGCTCGCTCCGCCGCTTTACTCTCCACGACACTGACCACCGCAACGGGCTTTTGCGACAGCTGTTCCAGCGCTTTGAAGGCCTCCGGGTTGGGAAGCAAGGAGGAGTAGTCCTCCGAGGGAAGCAGCAACTGCATGCCCTCGGGCCTCTCCAGCTTGTTCATTGTCGAGGAGGAAGACATGATGTAATTGTGGTGATATCTGGTGCTCGTCCGTCGTTCTGTACCCTCGTAAAAGGTCCTTGCTGCGTGACGTACGTCGTTCGTCGATGGGGAGCAAGGACGAGATGCAGCGTGCTTACCCGTCTGCTCCTGATTCTGATGCTCCTGTGGAGGTTCTCCTGCCCTGTGTGTCTGTGTCAAGGTTAACCTCAACCTCAACACGACAGCGGGAAACTCAAAGTAGTGGTCGTGTAAGTCATTAGATTTGGTTTTGGATAATTTCTATATTCTTGATTGTGTTGCTCGTTGAGAGCAGAAACAGTAATAAATCGTTAGCTTTATTTCTACATTGAAATTGTAAAAAGCTGTGCTCGTTAGTACAGAAATGACTTGTACTTGGAGCAACTTACTTACTAGGTAGATGACCACAGTCTTCAACTTGTATACACTACAAGTACAACTTGTAGTACAGATTTCAAAGTAGAGCACAAAGATCTTCTGCGTGTCTACGGTGTCTCCTCTGCGGCCATCTTCATTCCCTCACCCTCAAAATTTTGACACATTAGAACTCTTCTGGCGCTGGCAGGTGTCGTGGCTCTCTTGAAGTAGACCCAATAGGCCAGCACACCTCGAACTTGTCTCGTCCCTCTGTCTTGTAGAAAGAAGAAACTCGGCTGTATCTTCAGAGCAGAACAGCTCCACAGAGTGCACAACGCTGCACCGGAACCAAAACCAATGAGAACACAAACAGAATGAAAAACAAAAAGACCACAGAACTACAAAAGTCAGTGATTCACAGCAACGACAGGTAACGGCAAGCCTATTATTAAAAAGCAGTGAACAACATATTGGGCGCACACGACCTTCTTTCTTGCACAATGAAAATGATCGTACCGTGCTGCAGAGGCCGAGGCAGAGCTGTGTTGCTTTTGATAATGGCATGCTAAGTAGTACGTGGACCGACAATTGTTCTTCGCCTTGTTCTTATCCTTCGTCGTGGCCTTGTTCTACCCATTTTTTTTACAGCACTGATTCATCATGCGGTTGCGGCGCTTCTAGCTGCCAGGCATATATCATACCTGCATCAACACAGAAATCATCCGCAAGGGCCACGGCTAAAATAAGCAGAACCCAGACTAGAAATTTATTCTGTCCAACTGTTTGTCTTTGTACTTCTACTTCTACTGCTAGCCTACATCAGAACTTTCAATTTCATCTTACTACTGGTACTGCACAGCTGCGTGCTGATGGTACGGGCGAATCGATGCGCGGCTCCAGAAGAAGATTTTCATTTTTGGCAAAATTGCGGCGCATTTACATATCCGTAGCTAAGAAAAATCGAAGCTGCCGACGCCTTTATTTGAACAAGTCGTTTTGTTCATCTTAGAACTGGCTGCAAAAAAATCGTCAGGTATGTCTTGTGTATGTTTAACTCTAAAACTAGCAAATGCAAATGAAAAATCGTACAGAGTTTCTGTTTCATCTCAAGCAAGAATATTCGGTGCTGCGAGGACCACTAGATCTAGAGCCTCTGTTGAAGAAGCACAGCCCGGTAGTCCTCCTGCTAGTGCACCCTTTCAAAAATTTTTAGCTCCATCGCGCTGCTAAATGTTAATAAATAAACGTCGAGAATTTTAACCGCGATAGATGCGGTCAATCTCAATGATTATGTGGTAGAATTTAAATTTTTCAAATATATTGATATTCCCATTTCTTCTTAAGGATTGGAGTTCTCGTAGCGGCAAGCAAAGTTGTAACACAAGAATCCTTAATATCCGAAGCGTAAGGGATAGGCGTGGCCCCCTGGTACCGGTACGTGATGAATGAAAACCATAACTACGAGCGTACTATGAATATCATGAGATTTTTAATACGATGCATGTTCATGTTGCTTGTTATTTTCATCTTTAACAGCACTTTGGTTATCAGATTATATGCCTTTCGATCCTTCCGTTCTTGGTGTGGCAAAATTCATGCTACTAGTACAAGTACACCTGCTCCTGCGCTTATTTGTTCTCATGAACGAGGAGAGTCTACTACACAAGAACTTCCTTTGAGTTCATCTACTTATGGCTCCCCCTGTGCTGCTGCTGCTCCTGCCGGTGGAGCAGGCGATGCCGTCCCAGCACCCACTTCATCCAGGCTCTTTTCGAGCCCTGGCTGGTCTTCCTTTAAAGCTGCGCATCCTATGTAAAAACATCCCCACGTCGAACCCATAGCTGTCATGCGAATCTGCATGCTCAAAATGTTTCTCATGCGGAGCGCAATGAGATGAAGTGTCTTCTAGTCCTGTTTTGGTATTTTTCATGCTCCAATCGGCATAATATGCGAAATCTGTGACTCTGCTGAACTAGCTTAACGGGATCACGAAGTAGACCCTACCTACGAAGGCAAGCTTCTTGTCATGCGCAACACCCAATAAAGCTGGCTGATTTGTCTAGCAGATTTCTGTTTCTCACCGCCCCGACTAGCATAATTAAATGATGCAAGAATTGGGGGCCGGGCAAAAAAAATTTCCCATCTTGACTCTGGGGTCGTGGGAACATTTTTGCGCAGAATACTGCGAAAATTAGGTTGTACAGCTGCGCAGCGGTCATCTCCTATCCAGGAAAAAACTACACCCATGATCCCCATCCGTTTCTTGCATGACAAACACCACGTGAAAAATATATCTAGTTAAATTTATGCATGTTTTGGCGCAGGACAAATTCTTGGTGGATGGGGATGGGTGTTTTATTTTTTTCCTGGATATCTCAAGAAATTTTTCGTGACCATGCGACGCCTCGTCCTGGGCAGCTACCGTGTCGTGACTGGTACTAGTAGTACTCGTATCAGTTGGATCTTCTTCTTATGAACTGCAAAAGTATCGTACTAGTATGAATTGCATTACAAGTTTGCTCAGCATTACAAATTGAATTTGTAATGCGGATTTGCCTTAGGAACCAGATTTGTAATGCATAAATGCAATTGGTACGAGTACGATACTTTTGCACAGGATACTTCTTCCGTCGGGAGCTTCAGCTGAATGTGCAGATTATAAATTGAAATTTTGGGTTCCGTGCCCCCAGTTGGTTCAACATGGTTCGTCGCATCTCTACTCGCTGTGCTGCTACTGTCGTGATATACAGCAGGTTGGAGGAGATGCGGGTCGAGAAGCGTCTGGAAGTTTTCGTGATGCGCAAGGAAGTTGTTCTCGTGCTGATGGTGCGCAAGGACCTTCATATGCTCGTCCGGGAAGTCCGTGTTGGCCGCATCCAGCAGATCGTATAATTCCCCATGCTTCGTATTTGTTTTTTTGATTTGATCCACCTCGCGAGCCGCGACTTCCAGATCCGGCCCGGGAGCTTTATTTGCACTGATGTCGTCTTTGATGTGATCCACGACAAAAACTGTGTGTTTGTTGTTGTCTTCTTGAAGAAGTACTAACGGCGTGACAAATTTTCTCTGCATGACCGAGAAAACGACCTGTCATGATGCGCAGCTAGTTCGTTGTACGCCAAAAAAAAAACACATATGGAAAAATAAACAGGAGTTGATGGCTGGAGGCCGGCGTATGGAATAAACAGGAGGTGTACTAAGAACTGTCACTGTGTATGTGCTGTTGCGTACTTTGCATAATCACAGACTTACACTCACATAGTTTTGTTTTCTATGGATAGATGTGGTCCTGCTGACCTTCGTGAACAACTTCATCCACGACCGCGGCAAGCGCGTCTGATCTTGTTTCATCTTCTTGCTTATGAAATGCGAAAGCATCGTACTAGTATAAATCGCATGACAACTTTCGTCAGCATGAGAAAGAAAATTTGTAATGCGGATTTGACGTGAGAAAGAAATTTGTATTGCATGAATTCGATTAGTACGAGTACGATACTTTTGCACAGGATATTGCTCCGCCTCGTCTGGACCGGCACCACGACCAGTGCTACTAGTTGTACTGCGACCGTCGTCCTCGCTGCCCACTGTCGTCGACCGGTCATCTAAGGTCGTGGAGTCGTTTGCAACAAGAGCGTCTTCTACTTCACTTTTGACACCCCCTCCAGCAGAAGTTGAAGTACTTGCAAGAGATATCACAGGAAAAAGTGTTAACGTTAACGGTTTTCACAGATTGCAGTCATGCATCACAAATGTAGCCCAATATGCATGCTATGCATGACAAATTCTGACACGTCTTGTGATGCATTTCTGCATCACAAAATCCGTTAACGTTAACACTTTTTCTTGTGATAAGAGAAGTAGCCTGCTTCTGCTTCTCTTCGACCATCACTCGGGCAAACACGCCCAGCTTCCAATCGATCTTCTCCTCCTGCTGTGGGGCGGCGGCGGAGCTGTCGTGCTTCTTTTCAAAGCGCCGGGTGAAAAAGTTGCCAGTTTTCTTCGCCACGGCGATATTTTTCCGGAGCGTGCCGCGCAGTACGGAGGCCAGCCGCCATATGGAAGTGTCAGGATCGAAATCGACAAAGTCGAAAAAGTTTGTAATGCATAAAATGCTACACAAAAAGCGGCTCTCTTGCAGAGGATGCAAGGAAGGCGGATTGTAGTCCTGGCAAGGGTCAAGTATTGGGCTGCTGATTAGCATGACAGAAGACAGCACTTTTGCTCTAAACCGCATGACAGATTCGCTTCCAGGACGGGGAAAATTTGTCATGCGCCGACTACAAACTGTGGGTCTACCTGGCAACGATTTTTCGCATCGCAAATTTTTCGATTTTGTCAATTTCGATTCTGACACTTCCATACGCCACGGCAGCTTCCGAGGGTCGTTGGCCACGGCCTTGTCGATCCGCTTTTTCTATCAAGTGCAAAAGTGTCTGGGTCAGGGAGATTCCCAGGTTTGTCATGCATATTTTGGATAACCCATGATGCCTGTAATGCATGGCCGAGGATCACAGATTCTTAAAGGGTCTTCTGCTGCGTATTTCGCATGAGAAACACCCACTCCGCGTAGCACAAACTGATCTCCTCTTTCTGGTCATGCAATAGAGCCTTTTTTACCTTCCAAAGACAGCGTCACAAGTTGCATTCTTCCAGACCCAGACACTTTTACATTTGATATTTTCAAATTGCGTTCCTCATCCGCGTCCGGGAAAGCACTCGGATCAACGTCGGACGAGCTCTATCCTGCGCAAAAGTATCGCGCTCGTATTGCAGTCATGCATTACAAATCTTGTTCTTAAGTTAAATCCGCATTACAAATTTTATTTCTCATGCTGAGGAAATTTGTATTGCATTTATAGATACGACGAGTGCGATACTTTTGCATTGGATAACCTCCATCCCGTCATCGGAGGCTTCGTAAGCAAGCGAAGGATAAGCCGATACAGCTTCATCTTCCCCCGCTCAACTATCCAAGAAAAAAACTGTGTAAAAAGTGTAACTTTGTGTTGCAGAAAATGCAAAACTGTTGCACTTGTCATGCTGGACATGCATCAGGGGCTATTTTTGTACGTGTTTTGTTTTCAAGTACTATCTACGCATGACAAGTTTTCTGTGTCATGCAGAGCAAACTTGTGATGCTATTCCTCCCGGAAACTATACACTTACACAGTTTTTTTCTTGCATATCAACAAATCTTTTGTCAACGCCATGATCATTTTGATAATCATAGAACTTGCAGGTATGGATGTGTCAGGATCCAAATCGACAAAATCGAAAGTAAATCTGTGATGTATAAAATGCAGGGCTGCACTGGAGGCCTGCATAATTCGGGGGCAGGCAAATGGGACCGATTGCAGCAAGCCTGTTTAGGGTTATGCAATGTGCTGCCAGAGTAGCATGACAGGAGCAGTCTTCTTTGCCCAAACAGCATGACGTACCGGCTTTGAGGGCTCCTGAAATTCATTGTCATGCGCTACTTACAAACTGAGGCTCTGGCTTCAGCTGGTGTAGATTTTACGCATCACAAATTTTTCGACTTTGTCAATTTCGATTCTGACACTTCCATAGTAGGCGTAGTTCTTCTTGGAATAGAACAATACATCTACTCCCTTGACTTCTAGAAAACGAAAGTGACCGTCGTATGAAATACAAAGGCATCGTTGTAGTATAAATCGCATGACAAATAATTTCCCCAGCATGAGATGCGGATTTAACTTGACAAACAAATTTGCAATTATGCATCATGACTGCGATTACTACGACGAGTACGATACTTTTGCACAGGATACGTCGCAAGAGATCGCCATTCTCCACTTGTGACCATCTTCTTGTTCTGAAGCTGCACTATTTTTAGCAGTATCAAATGTAAAAGTGTCTGAGTCATCTGCAAGAATGCATGTTTGTCATGCTTGTCTGGCATGACTCTTAAATCTGTCATGCACATTGCCCAGGAGACGTTTTTCTCTGTCATGCGGAGACGCAGTTTGTCATGCAGAATAGGCAACACCTACAAGCTCAGAAATTTGTCATGCTGAGCCAGCACTTGTGGCCTCCTCATGCTACGCCACTCAGCATCACAAGTTTCCAGACCCAGACATTTTTACATTTGATAAGCAGACGCGACGTCCTTTTCGAACTCCACAAGTCGACGCAGTATCAAAATGAAAAATCCCCCTCCCCACATTAAGACGGAAATCTGTGGCGCAAGATTTCCCCCGCACACACATGCGCGCTGTCTTGCAGCAGTAGGGCATCTTCGCAGCCAGATCCTCAGCCTAGGTAGGGGCGTCTGGGTCTAGTTGTTTAGCATTACTACAAACTACGGGCGCCCCCTAGGCGGCCCAACAGCATGCCAAATCGCTTCGATAATGGCGCGGAAGCCTCTGCGCTTGTCATCTTGCAAGACAAACGTGATTTGTGGTCTCAAATCAGCAACGCATCAATTTTTCGGAATTATACCGCTTTGATATGGGGAGGGGGGATGTTTCCTTTTGATACGCAGCTGCTCCTCCTTCCCGGCGACATTGGACACAGGTCGCATCGTAGTCACGTAAGCCACTGCTTCCGCCAATGTGGGGCTTCTGGAATTCACTCCGCCCAAAGCACAGGTTGCGTGCTTGAGCAAAAAAGCAATCACCCCCATGCCACTCCTCGTCATTCCAGCTTTGCAGTGGACGTAGGTATTGCGATTGTCATTCAGGGCCTGGAAGATAGAATCTGCCGCCCGGTGCAGTTGGTCCAGGGTGAGCGGGTAGTGTATCAAATGTAAAAGTGTCTGGGTCTGGAAACTTGTGATGCTGGATGGCGTCTCATGATGAGGCTACAGATGCTGGCTCAGCTGCGTGACAAGTTTCTGAGCTCCTAGGTGTTGCCTATTCTGCATGACAAACTGCGCTTCTGCATCACAGAAAAGCGGAGCTCTTGGGTAACGTGCATGACAGATTTAAGAGTCATCATGCCAGACAAGCATGACAAACATGAATTCCTCCAGACCAAGACATTTATTTTGCACAGGATATAGTGGTCGTATTGGCAAAACTGGTGCTGCTTAAAATGGCGCTGGCGGGGCCCGTAGAAAAACGCCTCCGGTGCCGCATGTATGGAGAGAAAAAAGTTTATCACAGTCACTAATTTGCAGGGTTTGCATTACAAATTTTCTTAGCATCACAAACTTTCCTTGTATTGCAGAAACACTAGGGAAATCCCTAATAAAGTTTGGCTGTGATGCATTTTTACGCATGACAAACAGTTTTGTATTGCAAAAATGCGCATGAGTGATCGTGACGAACTTTTTTTGTTTGATAGCATGCATGCCGTATGTAATGTCCCGAGGTTGCAACTTCGTTTCCGGCGTGCAGAGCAAGTGCTCACTGTGCTGGAGGTCGAGGTCCTGCTGTTTGTTACTAGCACTAGAAGATGTAGTAGTTGTTGGGGTTCTTGTCGAAAATTCTCCGTAAAAGTCCTGGTGATACTTGCCCCACGGCAGATAAGCGGTCTCGGTTTGCATGTTATTGAAGCTGACAAACATTCCGATATTTTCCCGAATCAGCAGATTGTATTCGAAAAAGGGTCTGCAAATATAAAGTGTAAATAGTATAGTACTCGTATAAATGCATTACAAATTTCCTCAGCATGAGAAATGAAACTTGTACTGCGAATTTACCTTAAGGAAAAGACGTGTAATGCATGATTGCAATACGAGTACGATACTTTTGCACAGGATAGCAAAGCCGGTTCTTCCTCTCACCATCGCCGTCCTTGCTCAGGAAGCTGTCCCACATACCGACCTTATCGCGAGAAAATAAAAGTGTTACATTGTGTTGCGGGACAAGCATCACAGACAACCTTTATCATGCAAAAAATGCTTGCAAGCCTCCTTTGTTGTTTGTGTTTTGCCTTATGATCTTCATCTCTGCATTTCAAGTTTTCTCTGACATGCAAGGAAAGTTTGTCATGCTGAATTCTTTTCACTACAATCAAATGTCAATGTGTAAGAACTGTATCACTTTTATTTTCCTTGGATAGACCTCCGAAAAAAACGACTGACCTTCACGCTCGGTGAGGTGATCACCCCAAATCATCGGCATGACGCCCAGGAACAGTTTCGCATGCTATGGGAGTGTCAGGATTGAAATCGTCAAAGTTGAAATAGTTTGTCATGCATAAAATCGACATCAGTTGGAAGCCCAATTCCCAAGCGGTGCATGACAAATTTCGGCACCGTCTGCGTCCAGTTTGTCATGCTGTTGAGGGACAGGGGGCGTAGTTTTTTGTCATGCTACTTTAGCAGCTATATCAGAGGAGACCCGAAACAGGCTGACAGTGGGGCTCGCTTGCAATCTCTGCAAGAGAGGCACTTCATGCCTTGCAATTTATGCATGGGAAATTATTGGTTAACTTTGACGATTTCAGTCCTGACGCTTCCATACATGCGGCTGGTTTTTTACAGGCACAGGGTCGGCAGGGAAGAAAAGAGAGAAAATTTCTTCACGATCCTGGAGAAAATTTATCCGCTCGCTAGGCGCGGTCCTCGCAAGAACGTCTTTACCAGGTCGTGGAGCCGGCGGTAACAACTCGATTTCGTCGTACGGCGGACCAGAAATGCTGTTCTCTCCGCACTTGTCGCGCATGGTAATGACCGTCGCCGTGAAGGTCTTCTGGAGTTTCTGAAACCAGGTTTCTTTTTGATGCTTCTTCTGAGTTCTTTTTGAAATAAACGTGGCCGCGGGGACTTTTACAACCTCGAGGTCTTCTATCCAAGAAAAAAACACCATCACAATCACTTTTGCACAGTTTTGCAATACAAAAATTTTTGTCATGCGCAAAACTGCATCACAGTCAAGAGTTATGGGCAATTTTCCTTTGTGTTTTTGCAATACAAGAAAAAAATGTTATGCGACCCGAATTTCTGATGCAAAACTTCCCAACTGTGATTGTGATGTTGTTTTTTTCTTGGATATCTTCGTGAACATCCTTTCCGCCGGGCGGGGACCACAGCGACGGGTCCTCGTGGGTCGTCCTGGCCGCGGCCGTGAGGTCATCGCGATCTTGATCCTCATCCTCCCCTCCTCGTGCTCGTATGAACGCCTCAGAATGGAAATCCTCAAAGTGGAAATAATTTGTGATGCATGAAATGCGACGGAAAAAGCCCTGTATTGCAGAGGACGCAATGGAGGCCGACTATTGTGCTTCTACGGGTTCAGAATTGGGCTGCTGATTAGCACGACAGAAGGGCACCCCTTTGCCTAACTAGCATGACAGACACGTTTTGAGTCCCCGGGAAACTTGTCATGCGCCGACTAGAAATGGTGCTTCAACTGGAGTCGTTTTTCTGCATTACAAATTTTCACTTTGAGGATTTCCAACCTGAGGCTTTCATAGCTCGTTCATTCTTATTTTTCGTGTGTCGTGCCATCCCTGTTGCGGATACGGACGGGACGAGGAGGAAAGATGTTAGAGCTTTAACACGCGTTAGCATGAGACGCGGTGACGTGAATCTCTAGTGAATTTTGCATGACAAATAGCAGAGGAGACTGCCGGGACATTGTCCCTCTTGCCCTTCTGGGAAGAGCGGTCTGTACACCGCAGAACTCGCAGGGTATGCGGCGGACAGCTGGACATGGCCTGGGCGTCGTTCTTTGGCCATATCTTTTCGTCTCCCTGTGCTTGCAGAAGAGCAAGCACTGCAACAGCCGCGGCAAAGACGAAGGCGCGAAAGCAAGGGCGAAAGGACCAGGCCGAGGGCTTTGACGCGTCTATCCGGCAGGCGCGCGCGTGAACCCTCCAGGCCTTTTCGGCAGAATATAGACGGGCCGAGGGCAACAGAGGGTGCTTGTCTTTTCCCCTCGGCCCCACTTCCCAGGGCCTACCCGCGCGCTTTTTGGAGCACCTCCCAGATGTCCAACTTCCTCCCAGACGGCCGAGTCGTGCCTTCCACCCGAGGCTACTCCGAGATGTCCAACTCCACGCCACAGCCAAAAGTCGTGAGAGCGTACGTGTTGAGCTAGTGGGTGCCCCTGTGTTCAGGCGTCGCCCTCCCTTTGCCTTTCGACAATTCCGGAGAGGAACTTCTGAGGCAGACGCGCAGAAGAATAAGAGCCCCCCGACCCATCTCCTCTGGTCGCTAAATACGCACTACACAGCCCGGCGAGCCCCCGCAAGACCACCTCTTTTGGTGCTGCAAGCGCCACCACGCGACGAGCAGCCCTCCAGGCTATGTGGGATGCTTGGGCTCGTGTCCATACGTAGCGAATTTCTCTTTTAAGTAAATGCAAATCATGCAATACAAATTCACTGCAAATTCACCCTTCTGTACGCTAACGACCGTCCAAGGCATAATTTCGTGTGTCGTGCCATCCCTGTTGCGGATACGGACGGGACGAGGAGGAAACAAGTCGATGTCAAAAAAGAGGCGAGCGGGAGATGATCTTCATCAGCAATGTCGTAGATGAAAGAAGAGCTCCACAAGGTCGTGCACCACGAGGCGGCAGCGAGCAAATAAGCTGCACGAAGATGATGATGGAGCAACTTCATCTTCGATTTTAGCACCGTCCTATCTATGATCGTGGTGCAGGAGACACCTAGGTTGATTCCTTTTTGATGTAGGTTTTCCCTGCTGGTGCAGCTCGTGCTGCTGCTGCTTGTGCTGTGAAGCTGCGTTTATTTCTGGTGCTGGTTCTCTCCCCCGTCTACTTCAGGCGTCGTGTTTTTGCAGCTGTACTACTAGTGCTGGTCTACTTCTACACTATTAGTGACATAAAACCTGAGGAGAGACCTCCGGGATTGCGATAGTACGAAGGCCTTGAACTGAATGTAATAAATCGAAAGCAATTTTATTTTCTATTACGTCGAAAGACAGACTGCTGCTCAGTCGCTGAATGTTGTAGGAAAATCTATCAAAATCAATAGGAAAGAAAAAATATTTTGGCGAGAGTTTTTTAATCAGAAGCCGTGCGGCTACTTCATATGTTGAAGGCTGCGAGTAGATTTCCTCCTGTCGCGGTTAAACATTTCGTAATTGAAAATGAACCAATTCGAAATGCTGCTGGAGAGGAGGTTCTATTCTTTGTACAACCCAACACCAGGTGGTGCCAACTCTACACTTCTCAACTGCAAATACCACCAGATGATAAGGAGCAAACCGACAGCACAGTTCTCGCGTCTTTCACTTGTAGTGTAGTTGTTCAGGACCGAGAATATTAGAATTTTACACCACTGACTATATCCACCGAAAGCGAAACTGACAAGAGGGCCTCCTGGAAGTAAGACAATCCGACTTTGGACTTTGACAATCAAAGCAAAATTATGCACCAGCTTTTTGGCGGGTTCGTTGCTAGAACCCGCTGCCGACCAGGAGCAGGACCAGCATAGACTACACTTCAGCTTAGAAGATCTAAGTAGATCTTGAATGGTTCAGGATCTATCATCGATATGAAGTAGACAAATGAGGTGGTCGACATCTTCGTCCGATTCATCTGACATTGGCTTAGTCATCTCAATATTGAAGACCGAGGATCCAGATCATGTTCATATAGCATCACATCAAGGACCACAAGCGTGCTAGAGTTGGGAGTAGACTATAACCGATAATTTTAATTTGTGCGTTTGGCACATCATCTATCTTCAACAAACAAGTTGAGGAATGCGAGTCGCGGTCGAAAATCAAAATGGACCAGCGAGCGGGCGGTGAACACGAAAAATTCTATGCGCAACAGGAACAGTCACATTTTGAAAAAATTAGAATTACTCGAAAAAACTTTTGGGGGGCTTATCGACCGCATACTGTTCATCTTGGGGATGACCAACAAGCACAAGGATACTCATCGGGTTAAATCAGCCACGGGACAGACTTCGACTGCTATTGTTGGAATGAAAAAAAGTGAGCAATGTCTTTGTTTTGAAGCGTGTTGATACAACAGCAGCACACCTCGGGTTTCAAGGATATGCATATGAATCTGCGACTTCAAGAATTACAATTGTTCAGAAAACATCCCGATGGATTTTGGAAAAGCACGACTGCTAGAATGGCAAACAAGCTTCGAAAGTAATTTAAAAAATGAATATAAACGATTCGTATATATGAGAAAGACCTAGACGAGCAAGAAAGTTGTAGAAACAAAATATGGCTTCGGCTTGACAAGATGATGAAACAGAAACTATAGCTACAGGCTCCGCCGAGCAGTCGACCTCACCGTTAATCGACAAAAAAATGAGTTCACTTAGTGCAAGAAGATCAGGAAAAGATAAGAGAACTGAACAAAACTATAGATAGTGATTGTGATTCAGACTTGAAGAAAAAGAATGATTGAAAGCGGCTTCTTGCGTGGCTTTGCGTCTTGGACGTACATGTACCTACAGTAGAAAGGTAATAATTATCTTTGGCTTTGGCACGACCATTCTACCTCAATATCATGTCGTACTTTTCGTACCCTCGCTAGGCTGCAGGTTTGGAGGCATGAAAAGTTTTTTTCACATCGCGGCAGCCTTTCTTGTATTAAAGTATTTTCGCAAAAGACTACTAGGGATGAACAACCATGATATTTGACTGTAGTGACAATTTATTTTGCCCATGACATTGTGTGCATCATGACAGATATCTTTGCAACCCCCTGAGTGTTCGTGTTCGTGACGAACTGGAGCTTCTACGTCGCATGATAAGTAAAAGTACTTAAAATTAAATGAATGTTGTTCATTTGTCGTGTGTATTAAGTGGCGCCAGGAACTTTTTTTCTCCAGAAGAAGTAAAACCTTCTTTATCTTCTTGTCCCACCAGTGGATCTGGTTGGTCGTGCTCGTCGTGTGCTGCGCCGGCTGCATCTTCTCCAGTGGACTTCTTCCCAGCGTTCGCGCCGAGGATCCGCCCATGGGCAGTAGGGGGCCGCTCCAGGTCAAGAAGATGATCCCCGCCCGCGTCGAGCTCGAGAAAGGAGTCAGCACTAGACGCCGCCTGCAGCAGCTCAGCAGGAGCTGTAGGGGCACGAGCAGCAGAAGCAGCAGCAGCAGCAGGTGCCGCTTGTACTGGCGGCGGTGTGTGCTGTGTCCCTTCCGTTTGTTCCCGCTCGAAGATGCCCTTCCGCAGTTTCTTCGCAGCCGTCGCGGAAATGACGCCTTTGTCAACGCCGGTTTTGATTTCTCGTTCGAGCCATTGCCCGTTCCCTGCATCTTGTGCATTCCAAGTAACACCACGCCGTGAAAACGAACCAACGTCGAACTCCTCAACAGTCAAACCTTCCTCCTGGACGACCTTTTTCCAAATTTTCACCTCTTCTTCCAGGATAGCCCGCAACGCGCCGTACAGGTTGTGTTCCCGCGACTCGGGCGTCGCTCTCCCTTGGTCTCCTGCTTGCTGCGACTGCGCCGCTTGTTCCTCCGAGGAAGCGGCGCCGGCAGGTTCCTCAACTTCAATGGGGCGGCCGGTCTCGTCCTTGCAGTTCTTGACCTGCAACTTCCAGATGTGGCGCGGATCGATGTTTGCAGGTGCAAATGCAGCAGCATCGCCGCCGACTGCTGCATGCTCGTCGTTGCGAATTTGACCAACTGCTGAAGGTGTTTCTCCAGCTCCCGCACCTGCTTCTTCTCCATCTTTTTTTCCCCTCAAAGCCTCGAGCGCCGCACCGTACTTGATCAGTTGCCCTATGCATGGCAAATATGTCTGGGTCGTCTGGAAGAAGGCAGAAATTTGTCATGCAGGTTTTATGAACAATGAAACGCCTAATAGCATCGAGCCATGCAGGTTTTATGCGTGACCCTGACCCAGAAGATCTCGCATGAAACAAGCCCCAGCATGACACATCTTGAGAAGGTGATGTCGTCTCTATGCCTAGACCGAATGTTGACAACTTCATCCTTCTTTTACTTCTGGTGGCAAGTGTTGAGCCGCATTTGCTGTTCATGCACGACAGCTTTTTGTGTTGTCTGAAATGCGCATAGCAAGTTGCGCCCTTCGTCCCGACCCGGACATATTTGTGATGCATACCTCCCATCTTCGGCCAATTGTAGGCCACGTTGACGATCGGACGAAAGTGCGTCACGTACGCGACCGCTTCCCAAACCTGTAGCGGTTTCAGTTTTCAAGTTGAAGTTTTACAACAGGAACGAATCAACGAGCTACTACAATCTGAAAACTTAGTATGCGAAAACGAACTACATGCAAGGAGGAACCTCTTTCCTCTCTAGGGGATCGAACTGAAAAGAAGAGCGAACTTCTTTTTTTCTAGGGGGTCGAACTGACAAGAGGAGAGAAGTTCTTTTCTTTCCGGGGGTTCCTTCGAACTGCCTAAGGGCGCGGGGCGAGAAGGAGTGTCGGACGGAAACGGAAGAGGGCGGGAAGATAGAGAAGCGAGGAAAACAAAAAGGAAACTGTCGAGCAAAAGGACGCGGGGCGTGCAGGCTATGCCTTGCCCTTGCCCCGTTTCCCCCCCCCCGACCCCCCCCCCCCAATTTCTTGCGCTCTATCCAATGGGCCGCAGCCCCACCGCCCCACGCTTTCTCTTTGTTTCCCACGAGCGATCGGAACCGACACGCGCGGCCTACGCAGGCGCGCAGGCAGTTGGCGCACTCCACCAGCGCCCCACCGTCCGCGGGCAGTCAGTTCGGCGACCGTGCCCAAACACAAAAAAACGAAGCGCCGCGCCTTGGTTTTTTACTCAGTGCCCCGCGAACGCGGAAGCAGTTCGCGCAGCTGCGCACACTTGTACTTGACTTCGCAGCCCCTCAGCCCGCGCAGCTGGGCAGCCTGTAGGCCGTCAGCCCGCGCGTGCTCTGCAGCTCCCAGCCTGCCAACACGCTACAAAAGGCCAAACGTAAAGGCCAAACTTAGCAGCTCGCGGGCCTTCAGCCCGTCGCCTCTCTGCAGTTTACAGTTTGTCAGTACGTTGCGAAAAGGCGAAAGCTCGAAAGCTGAGACCTATATTCAAACCTGCAGTGGCCGGTCTGCGCCCCCCTCTCCCTGTTCCTCATCGAAGCACTTTCCGTACTTCATCAAAAAACCGATGACCGCCATGGCCGACCGCGCCATGCCCGCCTTGCAGTGGACGTAGGTGCTTTTTCCTGCGACGAGAAATTCTCTGATTTGTTCCGCCGCAGCGTCGATTGCCTCGACGTTAAGAGGAACGTGGTCGGTCCAACAAAACTGCTTGTGGGAAAGTGAATGTTCTTGATTGATCGACCACGGCGCCGCCGCCGTCGCCGCCGCCGCCTGCAGCTGTTGCTGTGGTCCTTGGGTGCTGGGGCAGAGGTCTTCTTCGTAACACTTCCAGTCCCACCTCCACCTGAGTCCTTTCCCCCAAAACGAAGGTTGGCACTGGTACACTTGTTGCCAATCAGCGAGGTCCGGGTACACATTTGCAAGTGGCATTCGGCCAACTTCCGTGTCTTCCTTGCAGTTCATCGCACGTTGCTCTTTATACTTGTCCGCCCACGGAAGCGACGGCACTTCCTTTTTCATGTCATTGATAGACACAACGGCTCTGATATGGCATTCCCAAACGTTACAGTCTCAACTGTTCCACGGATTTGTCATGCATACCCGACTGCACCCGTACATCATACCTCAGCATGGATTTGTCATGCAAAAGTACCTGAAGCCGCCAGTAGATAAACAAGCGGCTACGCGTGACAAATCCCCGGAAGGCTAAACAGCATGTAAATCTGTGCGGACTTTGTAATGCAAAAGGAGCTATCTTCCCCCTTTCACTTTCGCCGTTCTTGCATTACAAATTCCTGTAACAGTTGAGAATGTAACATTTGAGAACTCCATATCTGATTCCCGTCGGATGCAGTGCGAGTCGCCCTCCGTTCATCTTACCACAGGTTCCCTTCAGCGCACAGGCCCAAACCCCGTCGCACACGCCCTTCTTTGGCATTACGCCAAGGACCAACTGAGCATTGCCCACATTGGGATTCACATTGTCCACGTGAGAATCCATGCTGTCGGTTGCTGTTGCAGGACGAGTGAGAATCTGCTCTTGTTTCTGCGCTTCGGCAAACTGCTGCAACGCAGGATTCTCTCCGAACATGTTCCCGCCCGCTAGAGCGAAAACGTCAACACGACGAGCGAGATTCGGGTCTTCGTGCTTCAGTGGGATCACATTGTACGGGTCGCCGTCCTATCAAATGCAAATACTTATCTCTGGGTCTCGAAGAGAGCGCGGCCGCTTGTTGTCATGCATGCATCTCGTGCATCACAATGATGGTCTGGAATGCAGATGCACCCAGATGTTGAAGCATCACAACCTTTGCACGACCTTCTTAATGCCTATTCCCCATGGGAAACAAACTTGCCTTTTGCGTTGCGGTAAGTCGTGGGTAAGTAAGTATACTTTTGATCATGCGGGTCCTGCAACACAGGTATTTCGACGTACGAGTCAGATTCAGCATGACAACTTATTTGGATCCACATTTATTTTCGTTTTCCAGACCCAGACATATAATTTGCAGTTCGTACGTCCGGCGATTCACACTTGCACTTTCGGCGCATCGTGCCCCACATTCCCAGAGGTGTGGCGCCAACGACGTCTTTGAACTTCTTCTTGCTGAAGTATTTCATCGGATTCATCCAGTTCCACCAACTCCGGCGCGACACCATTTGTCCCTGTTTCTGCTGCGATTGGGCCTGCTTCGTCTGGGTCGTTTCCGTCCGTTTCGTCTTCGTCGTCAAGAATGTTGCCGCGAGTTGCTGCGCTTCCTCTTCTTCATGTTCCTCTTCTATCGAAGAACGCAAATACCAATACGCCTGGAAGTGGAACTCTAGTAAAAAACTTCTGTCCTTTAACATTACGGGTTGAACAAAAATCTTCGCAAGAACCACGACGCCTCAATTTTATTTGGCGGCGCAACATGTTGACACGTTTTTGCGTTGCTCGTCAGTCAACTTGTACCTGTGCCTGTCAGAAGTCTAGTATAAAAATTCAGCATGGCAAACGCAAACTGCCATTGCGTTTCGTCTTCATGAAGATCATGACAGAAATAAAACGAGGCAGCTCGTCCTTTTGGGTCGCGACGAGTAGAGCAATTATGTGCATAGCCACAGACTTGAGAGCTATGCCAGCCCAGTATGGCATCAAGCTTCTAGGTTAATCTTAATGCACTCTCGTCTTTTCCAGACCACCCTCCAGACCTATTTTTATTGCACTTGATATTTTCTTCGTGTTCGATTTGTGTCGCCTCGGTTTTGATGCCCGTAGTGCTTCCTTCGGTCACCCGGGCCTCGGCAAAAGACGTGATCGTGTCAGCGCAGAACAGGCTCCACCTGAGGTCCATCAATACCTGCGAGGCGACCGCGACACGAGAAACTGAAACAAGACGACCTGCTCTTGCAACTCCCGGGAGAGGAGCCGCGTGACGCTGTTCGTCGTGTCGCTGGAGTTTCATTTTCATGTTCTCTGGAGGTGTTGCTGCTGAACTTATTTTTCTCAACAAGAATAACGCAGCACTAGGTCCGGGTGTTCGCAGTGATGACGCGCCGGCTGGTCGTAGTTGCAGTGAGTAACCGGCTTCAGGTCGTGTTGTTGAAAGCTGTAGCTGATCGTGATACAACAATTTGAGTAAAGTTAGAAGATAAAAAGTTGTTCTGCTTGGTGTTTATTGTGGTAAATCGCTGCGCAGCACCACTATTGCCGTCTGCTTCCTTCTTGTGCCACTGCCATCAGCGAGTGAATGTGAATGAAGGTGCGCGACGTCAACAATGAGGAACTTACAACTTGAATCTACAGTTTACGTAGAAAAGCAGGAGTTGAAAAATCGGGGTGCAAAAACAAGAGACACAAGCACTGAGCTGTTCTTGCTGTGATAATTTGCAGAAAATGTTCTTGACAAGCATTGACGTGTGATTGGCCAGCACATTTTTCATCTCAATATCTATGACAGACTGACAGAGATGACGAGTCAGTGCAAAAGTGCGAAGTAGTCGTGGACGAGGGAGTCAGTGAGTGATTTTCAAGAGGGTATAGTACTACAAGCTAGCCGAAGAGTTGCCGTAGAGCAAGCACCACAGGGAGCGGAACGAGTACGAGACCGAGAAAAAACCACGGTGGGCTCATATGAAGTTCTAATAGCCGCGCACGAACCGAGGTGGAGCAGGTAAGCATTACGGTTTTCGACAATCTAGAGATCATGGTGGACGACGTCCACCATACGACAAGCGGCAGCGCCGTCACATCAAGAGGAATTGTCGTCTAGTAGGGCTTCTGCAGATGATGTGTTCAGGTTAACCTTAACACGTTGAAGCACGGGCACGCAGACAACAAATAAAAGCGAGAAAATGAGCAGTCCGAAACCCGAAGAAGCAAGGAGCAACCGAAATAGATATTAGCGCTTCCATGCAGACGACAGACTTCAAAATAAGAAGACAACAAACTCCGATTTACTTCTCGTCGCGAAAAAAACCGATATAGTAATTTCTATTTCTGTTCGTGTCCCGAGAGGGGCCACAGGAGCCACACCCCCGATATAATATCATCACATTGAAAATACCGAACGGGATTGCTGACTCACAACAAACTTCGTGTCTGTGCAGCCGAGAACAACCGGCGCGTTGCTCCTGTCCAGATCGCTGCTCGCGAGCGAATTTTTTTTCTTTTCTATTTTGTAGTTTTGGCGGGAAAAGAAAACTTGATGTTGCAAGGGGCTACTAGCGCTTGTTCATCTTCATCGCGGTATATTCCTTTCGTTGTAGATAGTCATTGGTACTATAGCACTGTGGTAGTACACTAAGGTCTGGTAGGTATTATCGCGGAGGCGATGATCGTCGTGGTTATCGTAAATAGGAATCCCAACCTATTTCGTATCGTACCTCCACCACCTCTTCTAGGCTGCGCGTCTGAAGTATGCAATACAAATTTGAATTTCCCGTCAGTACTGGTGGTCATATACAAAATGCACCACAAATTTTATCGCCACGAACCTAGGGAAACATACTGCTTGCCATGCTGAATAGCGTGGGAAAGAAGCTTTTTTATGCAGGAACCGCATTTGATCATGTATTTGGAATCGTACACGCAGTACGGAAAATGCAATACTATTTCCTGTGGATATGAAAACAGCTCCGCATTCGCTCGGCTCCATATAACGGCGCACAACCCCCCTCCCGCGCATTTGAATGGCATGAGCAGCAGCACACGCAACGCCGGAAATGTGGCTTCATCTTCGCGACATCAAATCTGAACACGTACTGCAGTACTGTTTGATGCTCCAAAATGTGTCATGAAAACCGTGCATAGAGGCAAACGCAAACGTCGTAAACTGTGCATTGAATACCTTGCTGCAGTACAACTACAAATGAGAAGGACGGGAAGTTGTGCACCCTCATAGTCCAGGGGATGAGGTCCGGCACCGGCACGGATCGCCCCGCGTAGCAGTTCCAGTTTTTCGAACCATATGCTAGTGGACAACCATTTGCAATGCAAAATGCAGAATACTGCTCGTGCTCGTTGCGCTTTGTTCGTCCGTGAAGTTCTTTGCATGGCAAGTTCATCGTCCGCATGAATAGCTCAAACAGCTGCGCATATTTGGATTTGCCGATGATGAAGTCCGGTAGTTTATTCGTGCATCTTTCCATCCATGCAGAATCTGCCTCCTGCAGAGCAAGAAGACCTATGTCCACTATCATAACGGATTCTCGGGGTCGAAAAAAGGGTTCACTGGGTAGTACTCCGCCGATTCCTGAAACTTGGACTCCAGAAAATACTATCGAATGCAATAATGTCTGCGTCTGGAAGAGTGCAAGTTTGTCATGCGTTTCTGGCATTACTCGAGAATCTGTGTTGCATAGGCACGAAAAGGCCCCCTTACGTGTCATACAAACTAACACGCAGTTCGCCATGCGGAATACGTAAGACATGGCAGCCAGCAGCAGATTTGTCCACCTGCATAGCTGCGTATTGCAGTGCGTCTATCATTCACTTTTAGCATTACAAGTTTCCAGACCCAGACATATTTGCAATCCATAAATACCCCGGAAAAACCCCCTTGTCGATCCAATTCACCAGGTCTCCGTTTGCTTTTCGGTTCGCGGTCCAGCCTTGCTCCACCTTCTGGTCTATCGTGTGCAAAAGTCTCGCACTCGCATTGCAACCATGCATTACAAATCCTGTCCTTAAGGTAATTCCGCATTGCAGATTTTATTTGTAGCATTTCTCATGCTGAGGAAATTTGTGATGCATTCATACGAGTACGATACTTTTGCGAAGCGTATGGTCGTCCTTGAAACTGACCGCATCCGTGTGGTTCACTATCACAGGAAAAAGTGTTAACGTTAACGGAATTTGTGATGCAGTGATCCATCAGAAAAGGAGGTGCGCAAATTTGTATTGCATAGCATGCATGGAAGGCAAAATTTGTAATGCATGACTGCCATCAGTGAAAACCGTTAACGTTATACACTTTTTTGTTTGATATTCACCTTCCAAAAGTCGGAGTCCGAGGTGGTCCGCTGCTCGTAGACCCGGACAAAGAGCCGCAACCCCGGTTTTTGTAGGTTGTTGAACTGAATCAAGTGCAAATATGTTGTCAGTCTGTTTGCCATGCTTGTCTGGCATGGCTCTTAAATCTGTCACGCACGTTACCCAAGAGCTCTATTTTTCTGTCATGCAGAAACGCAGTTTGTGACGCAGAATAGGCAACACCTAGAAGGAGCTCAGAAACTTGTCATGCTTAGCCAGCATTTGTGGCCTCCTCATGATACGCCATCCAGCATCACAAGTTTCCAGACCCAGACATATTTGCAATGCATAAACTGAATCTGCGTGCGCATCACTTGGTCCCGGTTCGTCAGGTTGTTTGCCTCCTGCTCTGTAAGCAGTATCCCAAGTAAAAACGTCCCCACCCCAGGGTTGTCATGCAAATGCGCCATGACAGGAATATTTGCAATGCGCAGATCCACGAGAGGCATTACCAACCAGTCGCGTTTTGGAGTTTGTACTGCTGTAAACAGGATGAGAGAATGGCTTTCTCATGCGACTTCCCTTGCTAACCAGCACTACAATGCACGGGGAAGCTTGTCATGCACAGCTCCGAAAACTTGGAGATTTGTGTTGCTAGATTCGCAAATGGACTATGGGGTCGTGGGGACGTTTTTGCTTAGGATAAGCAGGGGGATTTGTTCCAGGTTGTACAGATAGCCGCTCTATGGATTGCAAATGTGTCTGGGTCTGGATGAAGATTGCAACTTGTCATGCTAAATCTGAGTCATGCAAAAATTTGTGCTGCATGATTACCAAAAGCTGTCCACTTTTGACCTCATCGAGAGGCAGTTTCTCATGCAGGACAGGCATGATAGAACTAACGCAGAATCTGTCATGCTATGTCCTACATACCAGACCTCATGGGTCATGGAAAACCTGCATTACAAGTTTGGCATTCTTCCAGGAGACCCAGACACTTTTACATTTGATACGCTCGACCCGTTTCCGGATTGGACCCAGTGGTCGAAGGTGGGAAAACCGCCCAACTGCAACAACGGCTCGATCACGTGGGGTTCCCAAACGATTTTCACGCTCATCTTACCCGTCTCCTCGTTGTAATCCCCCATCGGTGACCGTTTCCCCGCATGCAACTCCTGAATCCCGCGCGGGCTGTTCACGCTTTCTTGTCGCACCGAACAGTAGGCGCAGGGTTGGTAGGTCTTCGCGACGCCCGCATGGAGCCGCTGTTTTGGGTAGTCTATCCCACGAAAAAACTGCTTCACTGTGATGATTTTGCAAGATCTGCATCACAAGTTTGTCACACACGACACTGAAAATTTGTCATGCGCGCTTCCTAATCGAAAACACGCTTGAAAATCCAGTGTCTTGCAGGTCGTGTAGCAAGACAAGTAGTTCTGTGTTGCATTTTCTGCATCACAAGTTCATATTGAAACAGTTTTTTCTTGCGATATAGTCGGCTTCCAAGTCAATGGAGTCGAGAGAGTCCTGGACGATCCCCCCGAAACTGAGCATTCCGGTCGGGTTTTCCATTTCGTCATTGATGGTGTCCTCGCGGACCTTCGCCGACACGCGCTCAATATGCGTTGCAAAAATATCGTATTATCGTAGTAATTTTTGCACTTAAGCATGACAAACATCTTCGTTAAGCTACATCCGCATTACAAATTCCCTTCCCGTCATGCTAAGCAAATAATTTGTAGTGATGCAATTACTCCTAGCAAATACGATATATTTGCAATTCATACTGCACCCGCCACACGGTGTATTCCGGTGTTTTAGACGTGTCAAGAGCAAATATTTCTGGCTCTCCAAGATTGCAAGGTTTGTCATGCAGGTCTCGTCGCATGGCCCAGAACGTCTGAGCTGTAGTGTCACACGCTTTGTTGAGAAGGTCAAGACTCTGGAATGCCTCCTATCCTGCACGACAAATGCCTCCTTCGGGTGCCCAAGAATGGGCGGCTTCTGCTGCTCACGCACTACAGATTTTTGTGTCACCCAGAAATTCTAGCATGATAAACTGAAACTCTGAGTCTGACTCTTCCAGAACCAGCAACATTTGCAATGCATAAGACGTGCCCAGTGGCAACTCTCCGTATTCCAAAGCAAACCAGCAGAGCGGCCCGTTTGGCGGATTACTCCGGGAATCCATTATGTAGTAACCGCACTCTATCCAGCAACACTGCTGCATGGCCTGTTTTTTTATGTCAGTGCTGAAGTTGACTTGAGCATGAGCTGTGAATGTCAAGTATACTAAATCACGTCAGAACTACGGAGAAGCATTTCTGCATAACGAAGAAGAACAAGAGGGTATGGGTAGCACACAGGAGCACACTTCATAATTAAAATTTTGTTGCAGCACAATATCGTGTAAAATATCCAAACACTTCTGCACTACCTTCTCATGCGTGCAGTACTCCATGGGTCCTATGTCGAACGTCGGTAGATTCTGCGGAATGATTCGACTATGGCGATCTCAACTGTTACATTCTCAACTGTTACATGACTTTGTCATGCAAAAGTACCTTACGCCGCCAGAACAGATGATCAAGCGGCTACGCATGACAAATCCCCGGAGGGCTAAACAGCATGTAAATCTGTGCGGAATTTGTAATGCAAAAGGAGCAATCTTCCCCCTTTCACCTTTGCCGTTCTTGCATATACAAATTCGCGTAACAGTTGAGAGTGTAACATTTGAGAACTCCATATCGATCGGCGTTTGGGTCGGTTTCCCGTACGATCATCTCGATATTCGGATGGTCTATGCACTGCAAAAAGAGCACTCGCGTTCGAGGTTTTGCGCACCATAAGACATCAATGCTCCTTCTTAAATATCTTTTTCGGCGATCTCGGAACCTCCTCTACTACTCGGATCCTTCTTGATTCAGTTTCTCATGCACGTCGTCGTGCTGTTTGATATTGCGTCGTGTTGCGCACAGACACAGTACAACAACTCAGTAGAGCTACTCTTTGTCTTTTGCAGTGCATATGGCACGCTGTCAGGGGATTGTCCGCTAAGCCAAGGTTTGGAACCTTTTGCAGGTTTCGGTCAAACGGCAGCAGCAATCGCCCATCACCCCAGTAGATTTCAAACCGCGTGTCTTTGTCGGGCACCGGAAACTCCAGAAGCACACCCGTAACACCGGGAGAGTATGCAACGGAAATTAGTATGCCCCACCAGTTCCCGGGGGCTGCAGCTGATGAAGATCATAAAACTGAAAAAGTTGTCTTCGTCTTGCATAAACAGCATCAGTAGACAGAGAGAGAGCCTCAAGAGCAACTCGGATTTTGTAGGTGAAAGTCCATGAGTCCGTGGCACCAACGGTAGAGGCAGTTGTGGACCATGATCTTCATGTTCATTTACAAATCGGTTTAATTTACATGACAAACAAACTCGAGCCGCGGCGGGGTGGGGAGGCAAAAGCAATTGTAACACTGCATAAAATGCAGTCCTGGTTTAACCTTCTGTGCACCACCGACGAGAGGGAGAGGGATGTCTTTTCGAACACCTCCGGTGCGGCATGCGTTGCCGAGGTTCCCGCTCCGGTGCTATCCCCAGTCGTGGCGTTGTTTCCTCCAGAAGAGGTGGCCGCCCCTCCGGACATCGCGAGAAGTTTATGCATTGTAAGATTGAGATTCATTCTCCTCGTAGCAATTGCGTACACAACGACCTGAAACTTTCTCATAAGAGACCACGAATGGCGATTGTGGTAAGAAAGTCGAAGTCCTCGTGGGTCGTTTGAGTTTGTCATGCATAAAATTGCAATAGCAATTGCTACGCCAAATACACCAATCCGTTTGCACGGGATACAGTTGCGATAGCGGCAAGGCGTTCAGGTACAGCATCGTCTGTCCGGTGGTGGTGGATGCCGTGCCGATATCAAATGCAAAAATGTCATCTGGGTCTGGAAACTTGTGATGCTAAAATGTGGACGATGGAAACACTTTCGAACGCAGCCCAGCATGACAACTTTCCTCCAGAGCGCTTTCTTATAGGCAGTCCGCATGAGAAACTGCGTTTTTGTATGACACAAGAGGCTCCTGCAACTTGTTTTCTAGGTCATGCAGCGCAGATTTCACAGGAATGCAAGACCAGCATTACAAGTTCAAACCTTCCAGACCCAGACATATTTGCAATCGATAGCCAAGCGCGTTGGCGGCGTTTGTCGCGGCAGTAGACATCTCGACGAGCAGGTATCGGGTGCAAAAGTATCGCACTCGTACCGTAGTCATTGCGGTTTATGCATGACAAATCTTTTGCTCAAGGTGAATCAGCATCACAAATTCGATTTGTCATCATGCTGAGCTACTTCATTTGTAATGCGATCACTACTAGTGCGATGCTGTTGCAAGAATGCATAGCAGGCACATGACGCCGAAACACTCCGCACCGGTGCCGGCGGCGCCGACCTTCTGCAGCTCACCGTCTTTCACATTGTTCAGGACCGGAAACGAGTTGAGGTACGTAAACAAGTACTGTTGGGCTGTGTATTCTATGCATTGCAAAACAAATATCGCCCTACTTGTCTAACTCGCAAAACAAATTCTCCCAAAAGAAGAGATGCAATTTGTATATGCTGATTTCCCTACAGGTCGTGGCGCAATACTAGATCTGTCAAGCACGACTGTGATTAGTACGACAAACACCACGATACTACATTCGCGATGCATACACTGCTGGTATTCTATCGCGGTCCCAAAAGCCACGGGTGCTGGGTCGCCGTAGATGTCGCCGTTGCTTCCCAGCGAGTGGCTGGCATCGACGAAAAGCCCGTCCTTTGCGATATGGCGTTCTCAACTGCTACATTCTCAACTGTTGTGATGCAAGAATGGCAAAACTGAAAGGGGGAAGGTTGCGCCTTTTGCATGACAGATTTGGCACATTACTTAGGTGAGGTTTGGCCCTTCGCAAATTTATCATGCGGAGCAGCTTGATCTTGAGGATGATGATAGTGCTTCTGCATGACAAAATCATGTAACAGTTGGGAATGTATTAACGTTTGAGAACCCCATACGCGACCGTGCTGCTCGAGACGGACACGGTCGAGGCCAGTTGCGGCAGGTTGGTTTTCAGCCCCACGAAGCGTTGCACCGATTTTACCGGCCGGTGGGGCAGCCACTCTGAGGTGTTCAGAAACTCCCCGTAGCTCCAGGGGTTGCCGTGGCGGTAGGTGTCGCACAAGCTCCGTTTCAGCGGCCAACACCGCGTCTGGTTGGTCTGCAGAATCGGGTGGTAGATGGTTACTCCGTTGGAAAGCGCTAACGTTGACGTGGTCGGCGGTTTGGTCATTTGGGCGTTGACGGGGGTCGTGGGGAAGAGGAATATTGAAGCGGGGTGGTGCAGAAGTAAGTAGATGTAGATCAGCCTGGTGCTAGCTGACAGGCAGGAACAGAGGAGAAAGTGGAGAAACTGCTGGTATGTAGTTCTTGAAACAAACCTCCAGGAGTGATGTCGATCGTGTAGAATCATGGGCTTTGCTTGTATTTTCGGCGGAGCGGGAACCGCGGCTCCGCCTCCGCCTCTATTTGCTGTTTTTATTTTTCTCCTCCTCTTTTTCCACCACAGCAGTGCCGACGCTAAGGTGGAATTCGCCAAACAGCTGCTCAAAGTTGCAGTTAGTAATGTTGAAAATCCCCTCACGGTCACGGGGGCGGGGGAGTAGTTGTCGTTTCCATGCAGTCTACTTTCGGGCGATGTCTTCATTCTCATTCTTCTCCCCCGGTGAAAAACTTTGTTGTGTCTACTCGGGCAGCTGCAGCTCCTCATTGCGGCCGCCGCGCCTTCTCCGACCCGTAAAGGTTCGGAAGTCGAAGTAGTTCTTGTACATACCCAACCTCTTCCTCGCCTCGACGACGTTCCACTGCTAGCAGCGCCGTCTACTTCTTCCATCTTCGATGCACAGACGTCCTCGTCTGGTTTCTTCTTTGATTTGTTTCACAGCGTCAGTTGCTGCAATGTCTACAGAAGACGGTGAGTGGTTTTCAGCAACAAGGAGGAGAACCTCGCCCTTAACTACCCATGCCTTCGATTCCGACACGCTTCGGGATGACCATCTGATTTTCACTGCTGTCCTCGTGGTCTGCCATCTTTGACTTTGTTTACGGGTTGTACTCAAAAATTGTATTGGCAAAATCAATGAAAGGACAAGATCGAATGAAAGTTCTCGAAGTCGACGTGTAGAAATTCAAATTTACGAACTACGCCCGTCTGCGTGCAATAAATTCAACAAAGAATAAAGCATCTAGTACTAGAAGCTGGATGCGCGTTTTTTGTCGCGTACGAAACTACTTACGCGCAATCACAAAAATAGATGGGAGATGAAAGGGACAGGGAGCGCCACATAGGAGCTGCAAGCTGAAACTCACTGCGGATTTTTGTTCCGATGGAAAAGCAAATCACTCTCACTCTCTCTGTGATATCCTCGACGCACTTTGATACCAGCGAGATGGTTTGTTTCACTTTCACTAAAAATTTTGCGGCACTCAGGATAATAATCACGCATAGTCAACACTCGACATCAATCTGTTAATCATCCTCGCTCTTCCTCTTGCACTCTTGCAGCAGTTTTTTTGGTTCTGTCGCTTCTGAAGCAACCTGAGAATCAAGCAAGACGATGGTCTACTTTAAAGTGAGAACGTGTTATGCCTCGCAGCACACCTTGCTGAAGTGAGTCGCTCTAATATCTCCGCCGCCGAGCAGGGAAAAAGAAGCTCCCCGTGAGGCACCACGACACCACGGGTACCTCTAACCTCATTTTGATGTACTTCCACCTCTACGCAGGGTTGTTTGTTTGTTACTTCTTTTCTTTTTGCGTCATGGACGTGAGAGCAACCGTGCTGGTGGCGCATCAAGGTCCTCTAATATCGTGAATGGCTCTACTCAAGAAAAGGGAGATCAAAAATTCTGGCTGCTTTTGTCGTGCCCAGCAGTATACGAAGTGCTATCCTAATCTTCTCTGGATCCGGTACCATCTTCACTATCTTCTTCACTGTCAGAGGAAGACAGCATGACCTCTTCTTCCAACTCCCGCTGCCTTTCCCATTCCATCCGTCGCAACAGATCTTCCATCTGCTCCCGCAAAACTGGATTATCGATCTGCACCACCGCGTCGACCGGCAGTCTCCCATCAAACAGGTCGAAGTGATAATCTTCATCTTCTCTGGTATTTTGATTTTCTTCTGCAGCCCGATAAAATAAATCACCGTGATTTCCACTCTCGTTTCTGTCGCTAGTGCCCGAAAGGGGCCCCGTTCGTCCGGAGTGACTATCAGCCCTGGTTTTCGATGTTTTTCCCCTCTTCCGGCCCCCGAAGGCGCTGGCGGAAAACCAGGAGTCAAACTGAAAAAATTTGGAAAAAAATTTCTTCGCAGACCGCCGCGGCTTGTGCGGTTTCGGCTGCGAGGACGAAGTTCTGTCGCCGAACATGTGGTCTTGGTCGTCGTGTTTATAGTAGGAATTCGCGGCTGGCGGATCATCGTCCGCGGGGGTTCCATGCGAAGAGAAACCTCCTCGCTGAGCGCCCGCCGGCGTCCCCGTGCTCCCCCGGTTGAGAGCACCGCGCATCAACTTCATTTTTGTCGTTTTTTCTGCACTGGTGGAGCAATTGATTCTTCACGTGTTTTGTTCTCTTTTAACTGCTCTTTCGCATCGTCGTGACCCTGTTCTTCACAATACAGTTGCAGCTGCAGCTCGTGCTCTCCTCGTCAACACATACAAGGTGTCAATAGGGTTCTTGTGACAACAGGCCTGGCATCAAGACGACAACAGGAATACCAACAAGAAAAATATTCCAAGATATTTCTTTCAGCGAGCGTTGTTCATCTCTGAAATGTAAATAAGAATCTGGAAGAAGTTATCGTCCTCATGAACTTTTCAACCGAAAATAAAGAGGAACACCTTTCATTACAGACGCCGGGGTAAACGCCACGACGCCGCGAACAAGCAGAATTCTTGCTCTACTTTCAGCGCAGTTTCTTTTCATCAGCCTTTTCTCATCAAAGAGCCACGGCTTCTTTCACTTTTCTAGCCGTCGGCTTGCAAAATTGTTTCGGAGAAATCATCTGTATATCAGTCGTGGAGAGCGGGAGTCAGAACTAGATGAGCAGCACCTGCCTGCTTGTTCTCGCACACGGCTGAAGCTGATGAAGCATCAACTTCAAAATGTAGATGTACATGGCCGCTCGGTGAACATAAAGCAAGCAAGTGCTCTAAGTACCTACCCCTTTGTGCTGAGGTCCACGTGCCCAGCTGTCATCTTCGTGCTGCAGCTTTCGCTTTTCACTAAAGTTCATCGGTCTCAAAAGTTTAAGTTTTTACGTCGTGCCATTCTTCTGAAAAAAGAAAAACTAGACAAAACTTCATATGTCAAACACAAACTCACAGTTGCGCGAGCATTCAAAATGTTGCAGACGTGTATCTATGTAAGTACTTAATATGACTATCTTGGTTTTGTGATTTTGGAGGTAAAAGGTAGTTTTTTCCCGTGAGGGTTCTCTTGTCGCGCCAAAATGGTGGGACACGAAAACGCGCGAGTCGTACTGTGCCAAAACTCTTCGTAGAAAGGTGGAAGAAAATTCCTGTATACAGGTGATGAAATATGAAATGCTAATTGCTGACTATGTCAACCTGTAGGCAATTTATAATCATGCAATAGAACTACGTAAAAACAAAAAGTGATCATACCACAATTTGGACAACTTCTATAATCAAAACAGAAAAATACTGCCTGCTTCTTCGCCTCACCTAACTTCTCTTTCCAAAGAAAAAACACCACGGCAACTACCGAGGGGCAACAACAGCGATTTGAAAAGCTATTGCTGCATGTTTATTTCTTCAGAAGACAGACCTCTGAGTGACTGTGCGTAGAGGACTCGAGGTCGCGGGTGTCATCAAGCCGCAATGGAGCGGCAGTGACTTCCACGATTGCATTTTGACCAGCTACGGTCTTGTCGAGGCAGAGGCAGACGTAGATCATGATCTTCTAGTAGTAGATTTTCTTACACATAAAACTTCACGAACCAGCTTCGTTGTAGGTGTTCAGCTGCGAGCGTGGCGGTCAGAGGACCTACACTGATTCATTGGGAAGAGGTAATTTAAAAAACGAAAATAAAGCGGCGTCGATATCAAAAACCGTAATTAATCTTCACGCCTCCACCTGCACCAGCGTTCCCATCAGTTCGGGCTTTTTCAGAATCATCATGCGGTCCTGCATTTCCATTTTCGCGGCTTCCGTCAGTTCGTCCGCCCCCAGGGACACTTGTAACTCGCGAATCTGCTTCTTTTTCTCCTTCTTCAGCTTCGAGGTGCCCTTGCTGCCGGGCTCAGGCACGTTCAAAGTGTTACCGTACCCATCCGTGATACTGGAGGACAATCTACTCGACAAGTCACTCGCCCGGGACCCCTGGCGCGACAGCGGGCCGTGCACCTTCTCGTGCTGCTCCGCGAGCAGGCCCTCGCGAGTGAGCTTGCCATCCAGGGTCATGCGCCAGCACTCTCCCGTCGCACCGAGAAACCCGGCCTTTTGCAAAAATTGCTCGTTGTGCGACACCATGATCACGCTATGCATTGCAAACATTGCTGGGTTGGGAATAAATTTGTGTTGCTGATATGTACTCGCATTGGCATTGCAGGGCGCTGGCCGCTTGCACGACATAGCTGCGCTAGCATGGTGAGTTTATTTTCTGTGGCTTCTACTACACTCAAGTGCGAGTACGCTTGCGAGCGCGTTTATTAGCACTACAAACTACCCTTTTTCAGCACGACAAAAAAGGTAGCCAATCCTCGTCTTCATGCAAGACAAATCTTCTAAGATCCTCGCATCACAAACGCAAACCCAGACCCAGCCAAATTTCCAATGCATACACGCCACCGCCGAACGTTTCCAGCCCGGAAATGAGGGACTCCAGCCCCTTCGCGTCCAAATAGTTCGTCGGTTCGTCCAGCACCAGCACATGGGGGTGCAGCCACATGGAGGCCCCGAGCACCAGTTTTGCCTTCTGTCCAGCGGCGAGCTTGCCAATCGGCGTGAAGGAGACCTCTTCCTTGGACAACCCGAAATTGAAAAAGAACTCCTCTACATTTTGCTGGGTCAGCACCATGTTTAATAACCCCTTTTCCGCCGCGCGGCGCTCGTCCTCGCGTTGCGCTAAATTTTCCAATATGCACAGCAAAAGCATCGTACTCGTATTGCGATCATGCATTACAAGTCTACTTTTTCTCAAGGGAAATCAGCATCACAAATTTTATTTCTCATGCTGAGGTGGAAATTTGTAATGCATTGGTACGAGTACGATACTTTTGCAATGCATATCCAAACCCATCTCCACCAGCTGCTCCCGCGAGACCCACACGTTGGTAATCGTGTCCACGGGCACGAAATTTCCCTCCCACGTCGTCTGATAGTCGTACCCGTTGTTCGCACCGTTTTTCCGGCGGTCGGTAATCGCGACGAGCTTCCGCGCCACCTCGAGCGGCTGGTTCGTCTTGGGATTGAACTTCACCGGCCGGACGATGGCCGTGGGCTGGTACGCGACCGTCCAACCGAAGGGAGCAATGTTCACCACGTCAGGGGAAGGTTCCGGGGGCGCTGCCATCGCACCTGATCAGAATATGGTGATTTATTTTGCGATCGCGCAGCTTTGTTTGTGCGTAGAAGATGTAGTGGCTAAGATGAAAACGTAATGATGGAAACTGAAAACATGACCCTACATTCAGATGTTTTAGTAGTTTCTGGTGCAGCAAAACCTAAAATACAGTCAGTGTAACTACCAGCGATCCGATTTAGCTCGTTTTCGCGATCGTTAAGGCCTTCGAAGCGCCACTGCATGTATTTAAACGGCGTTTCGTCCAAATGCCGGTCCAAGTGGTGCAGCGCCTGCTGCTATGAACTGCAAAAGTATCGCACTCGTAATATAAAAAAATGCTTTCAGCATGAGAAATAAAATTTGTAATGCGGATTGACCTTAAGGAGAGGATTTGTAATTATGCATGATTACGAATACAACGAGTACGATACTTTTGCACAGGATAGCTGCGCCACGCACGCAATCCGCAGCTCCGGGTGGCGGAAAATCTTGTTTTGCGCCCGGAAGGACGCGTTGTTGGTTTTCGAGTTCGGCTGGAGTTCGTCGAGTAAGAGCTTCATCAGAGTCGTCTTCCCCGCCCCGTTCGGGCCAACCACCGCGACGCGGGATTTCAAACAGAGTTGCAGTGACACTTCGTTCACGACATTGGTTTTGCTGGCGTTTTTTCCACCCGCAGCACTGTCCCCGGTGTAGGCGAAGCTGACCTTGTCCATTTTCAGAATCTGCTTCGTCTTCGAGGTGATGCCCTGCAACGGACCGGGTTGCGGGAAAACGATTTTATTCTGTTCTTGTTGCGGAGATCCAGCGTCTGCTGCTGCTGCTGCTGCACCACCGACTTTCTGTGCTCCTAAAACGTCGCCCATACTACCCCTGCCCCCCGGCTGTTTCTCGGCTGTCGCCACGATTTTTTCCCATTCTTTGGGATATTTTTGCGCAAAATCCTTCAGTATCAAATGCAAATATGTCTGGGTCTGGAAAGTTGGAACTTGTAATGCTAGCTTTACATTCCTGGGAAATCTGTATTGCATAACCGACAAAAGCCGCAGCCATTTTTGTCGTGCAAGAACGCAGTTTCTCATGCAGACTACCTACTTATGAGAAAGCGCTCCGGAAAGTTGTCATGCTGGGCTGCATTCGGAAGCCTTTCCATCATGCACGTTTTAGCATCACAAGTTTCCAGACCCAGACATTTTTGCATTTGATATTCAGCGACCCGTGAAATTGCCGGAGCTTGAACATCAGGCTCATGCCCCCGCCTGCGGTGTTGGTGAAGTAGATCAGGTCGGTCATTTTCACGGTGGTTGCCAGCCAATTCAAGTTGTGGCTCGCGGAAATGACGGTCTTTTTCTCCGAGGTCACGAAGGAGTTCAGCCACTTTTGCATCCAGTCCTGATTGCTGGTGTCCATATGGCCCGTTGGCTCGTCGAGTAGCAAGAGGTCCGGTTTCGCAATCTGGGCCGCCAACAACTGCATCTTCATGCGCCAACCACCGGTATCCTGAGCAAAACTATCGCACTCGTACGAATTGCATATAATGCATTTGTCTATGCATTACAAATTTCTTTTTCAAGCTAAATCAGCATGAAAAATTCCATTTGTCATGCTGAGTCAATTTGTATTGCAATACTAGGAGCACGAAGATACTTTTGTAGTGCATAACCGGAATAGGTCAGCCACTTTTGCCCGCACGTGGCTTTCGTCTTGTCCGTGGGGGTGGAGTTGGAGGGGCCGAAACTGTAGTTAGGAGGTGTATTCATTTGAAGATTTTTTTGATGAGCCTTTGATATTTACACCATCACGAGTTCTTGCCGAGTTCTTGCAGTCCTACGTTAACGTTTCGACGTTCGACTTCTCATTAAAATTTCTTTACTAACGTATAAATACGAAATTCATGAATTCAAAGTCATAGGTCATGGACATCATGCTCCTGCCACAAGAACGAATAAGTACCTGCCCACCCCGACCAGGAGCTTTTCGCATTCCGCGACGGATACCTTCGTGTGGTATTTGTAGTTCACGACCCAGTGCACGTATTGCACACCAGTGAGGTCGCCCACCGTTTTCACGCTCTGCGCGTACACTTGATCCGTCTGCCCCGGCTGGATTTTTTCTTCCTCGTCGATATCGTGCTCGACCAAAACAATTTTCATGTTCTTGTTCGCGCCCGTAGCTTGGCCGCCGTCGGTCGCGGCAAGCAATTTATCGTTGGCCACGGCCCGTAGAAAGGCGGTCTTTCCGCACCCGTTAGGACCCACCAGGCCATAGAACCGGGACTGTTTCAGCAATAGGTTCGCGTCCTTGGGTATGGTGAGGAAAAAACAGGAAATGCTTCACAACTTACTTTTGTCGCGGTGTTGTTTAACGGCGATTGCACAATGAAGACTCGCATGACGAGTTACCCTCAACATCGCATGAAAGATGAAAAAATCTGCACACGTGCGAACTTTTCCAGAAGAGTAGAAGCTAATGCTGGGCTATCTAACACACGTCGGCGCCCAATACAGGAGCGAAGCAATATATTTACTTTTTTCCCTCCATATTCAGCAGGATCGAAGTTCCGAACGCGAGGGTGAAGTTGCCTTGGTACAGCGTGGGCTGCTTCGGATCATCATCGACAATGGTGTACTCGTCTTCGATGTCGTCGAACATGTTCTTGAAGGGTTATGCTTGGAAAAAGGATGAGGCACAACGAGCTCACGATCACGAATAGATTTTTGAGATCCACATCAATCAGGAATTATGCATGGCATTTGTATTCGCTATTGCACAAATGCCTCGCGGCATGGAAAGTAGAGAACTGCCTGTGGATTTCTTGTGTCAGTCTGCAACACCTGTTGCAAATGAATGGCCGCCGGGAAACACCAGACACAACAACAACATGCAAATCGTAGAAATAAAACTCGTTATGATCCAGTAGGGGCGTTTTCTCCTTTGATAAATTCCGCAGCGAAGACATCAAGATACGGGTTTCCGTCTTCGAAATGTTGCACACACTGGTCACCTATGCATTGCAAATATGTCTGGATCTGGAAAGTTGTCATGCTAATGTCCGAATGATACGCAAACTGTGTTGCGGAGCTGCGCATGACAAGTTTCTGAGCGGCTATGCCCAGCGCAAAGCGCATGACAAATGGCCTCTTTGCATGACAAACAAGTGGCGTTTTTGCGCAACAAGCATCACATACTTTTTTGTATTACCGGCCAAGCATGACAAACTTGTATTCTTCCAGATGCAGACATTTTTGCATTTGATATCACCTTCTCCCAGTCGTTTTGCGACTGGTTCTTTGCTGCCATCAGACTCGCAATGGCCTCCTGGAGGTGCTCCAGCTTCGCCTTGTCGGTGGCAATCTGCTGCACCGCTTGCGGCGCGGAATTGGTCAGCACCTTCATGATGTTCACAACCGGGCCGAGATAGACAAACTCTCCGCGGACGTCCGCGGCGATCCGCTGGCCCTTGGTCAAACTCCGGAATACCATGTCGGCGTGTAGCAGTTGGGTCCGGACTTCCGGATCGGAAACCGTATCCAACTTCTGCTCTAGCAGGGGCAGCACGTGCGTGATCAAGGGGTAGGCGTCTTCCTTCTCGCTGTCCTATGAATTGCAAAAGTATCGCACTCGTATAAATGCATTACAAATTTCCTCAGCGTGAGAGATAAAATTTGTAATGCTGATTTGCCTTAAGAGAAAGATTTGTAATGCACGACTGCAATACGAGTACGATACTTTTGCACAGGATATGTCCACGAGTTTGGCCATGTTTTCCAGGATTTTCGTGGTGCGGCGGACAACCTTCTCGTCTTTCGCGTTTAGCCCCGCTTTGAAAACGGGGATCATCACGGACAGTGCGGGCGGTTCCACTTTCTGCACAAATAAACAGCCGGCCACGTATCAAAAGGAAAAATCCCCCCTCCCCATATCGAAACGATTTTTCTGATGCTGGATTTTCGTACACAGATCGGGTCTGTCTTGCAGTAGAGGACTGCAGGCATATGGCAAGCCTGAGCGGAGCGGTTTTGATTTCGGGGCCTAGCATGTCAAATGTCTATGCTGTAAGCTGAGCAGTTGTATCACAAACCGCCTACATGTGGCGGACTCTCTGGGCCTGCCCTCTTGCAAGACAGACAGGATTGGATTCGTGGTCACAAATCTGCATCACAAATTTTCAGACGGATGCGCTTTCAATGTGGGGAGGCGGGTTTTTTCCTTTTGATACCAAGGCTTCGATGATCACCGGCAGGTCTTTTTTCATGTTGTTCGACACCGCACAATCGTAGGCGTAGTCGAGATATGGATTGCAAATATGTCTGGGTCTGGAAGAATAAGTACAAACTTGTGATGCGCATTTTAGAACACAGAAAAATCTCTCATGCACAGGTAGCAATAAGTGCTGCCCACTTTCTGTCACTAAAGTGGGGGACTTCTCATGCGGGTTCGGCATTGCGGAAGCTTCTCGAGTAAACCTGTGACGCTAGAGCTTCCATGCCAGACCTTCTGTGTCATGCAAAAACAGCATGAGTCTTCCAGACCCAGACATTTTTACATTTGGTACGAGAAACGTTTTGTTTTGCTCCAGAACGTTCGATTCCCCGGGCTGCACGCAGGTACCGTTGATGAGGTCCGTGTTGTTGCAGCACTTCAGCAACGCTTGCAGGACTTTCGCGGCAAATTTTCCCACCTTCAGGTCCTGCGTCAAACCAGGGGTGAGAATGGGGATTAAATTGCATATCACAAGGAAAAGTGTTAACGTAAGGGAATTTGTGATGCAGTAATGCATCAGAAAAGGCGCCCAAATTTGTACTGCGTAGCATGCATCGAAGGCAAAATTTGTAATGCATGACTGCCATCTGCGGTGGAAACCGTTAACGTTAACACTTTCTTGTTTGATATTGCACAGCTCCGACCCAAGAACTTCCGAGGCGGTGACGCGGGATATGGAAGGAGAGAAAAGCCCTGTGAAGCTCAACCTCTGTGTCAAATTTGTAAAACTTCGTTTTTCGTTAATTTGCAGTTGCACCTCCTCCGGCTGCATCGCATGATTTCATGATCGTGTTGGATGGTGCAGCAACTCGCACTTTCCGCAATGTGCACTAATTCCACGAGCAGTGCACCTCGCGTCGTGGAACACGCGGACGAGAGAAGTAGTCCATTTTAATTTTAGTACATCTACCTATCACGGACCTGGCTGTGGGTTTGTTTCTAGCATGACAAGCTTGAAGCCAACTGTTGTTGAAGCAACTGCAACATTTTCACACGACCATCATGTAGAACATCAATGATGTTCTACAACTTGACAGAGTTGTTCATCCTCGCTTTTCTCTCTTCTGATACCCCCGGTGGTGAGCATGTTGTCGAGACATTGCAACTATCCTGTGCAAAAGTATCGTTGTACTGCATGTATGCATTACAAATCTCGTTCCCAAGGCAAATCTGCATGACAAATTGCATTTGTCATGCTGAGGAAATTTGTAATGCAATTCCTTTTCCTACTAGTACGATGCTTTTGTAGTTCATAGCAACGCCAGCTGTTTCTGTTGGGGTTTCGCGAGCACGGGGTCGAAGTAGATACTGAGTTTGTTCTTGAGGAACTGGCGCATGGCCCAGGGGTTTTGCTTCGTGATCGTCTCGTTGATTTTCAGAATCATACCCTCCGCAGCAGCTGCCTCCTCCTTATTCTTCTCCACGACGAGCTCGAACAGGGACTGAATCTTGGTGTCGTTCGACCACAACAGCTGCGGCAACAAAATCTGGTTCTTTTGCGCCATCTGCTGCACCAGCTGCAAATCCTTGACCCGCTGCTCGTGCAAGGCCGCTTTTTCCTGTTGCGCGTTCGGCTTCGCAGTCTCGTATGCAATGTAAATTTCCAGTACATGTACAAAATGCATGACAAATTTCGCTAGCTTGCAGTGTCCAACTTGTCATGCTAGACTAGGATTGAAGGCAAGTTTTGTCATGCAGAAAATGCATTTGTACGTCTACGTGTACGGGAAATTTTTTACTGCGGATATCTCCGCGGCGCTGGACCGGGGTGCCGGTTGGAAATTCTTCTTCATGCCCGTGGGCTATCCTGTGCAAAAATGTCGCACTCGTACTCAAAAACGCAGTCATGCAAGACAAATTTCTTTTCCCAGCTAAATCAGCATGAGAAATTCCATCTGTCATGCTGAGCTATTTTGTATTGCAATACTACGAGTACGACACTTTTGCAATCCATATGGGCCCCGCGCCCGCAATCGGGGTCGCAACAGACCACATGACGCGTGTGGCAGACATGCTGCTCACGTCCGTCTGCACTTTGGGAGGGGACTTGGCCCTAGCGGCCGTGGGGCCGGAGGTCGGAGCCTTCGCTCCGCCTGCAGTGCCTTTCTTGATTGCCATGGCAATTGATATGACAGTGCTGGCTGATGTTGATTGTTGATGTTGACAATAAACCGGCAATAAGAGATTTGGAAGTCGTCGTCGCAAGCCGTATTCAGAGCGTACTAAAATTATGAGGATGAGCCGGTACCAGGGTTTTTTCGATAAAATGCTCCAACTGACGTAACTCAAACTACAAGACGCAATGACAGAAAACTACAACAGGTTTTTCGAGTGGAAGAGCAGTAGCTACGCTCTGCTTTCGAAAAATATATTTGTTTTTTTTATTGTTTACCACGATGTGGCTTTTCTTTTTGAATACTTTGTTGAGAGCCAAAAGGTATGTTTGATGTTGGAATATTAGGGTCGTGTGGGGAAAATTATATTATCGCCTCGTATGTCACAACAAAATATGTCGTGATTGCGTAGCTTTTAACTTCTTTTCTCCTGTTTTTTTATTTTTTTTGCGTGCTGTCATTACTTTGTGACGCAGTCGACCATGACACGCCACGGGTGAGCGATCTTGCTCTTCTCGTCCTCCACTGACATGGCAAGAAGAGCCTTTTCTTTTACGTGTTGAGTTGTATGATGTGCAACTAGAATTACACGGAGCCGCACATGTTGCACAAGTTCCGGTCTAGTCGAACTTAAAATGATTTGTCGGAGACAACAAGAATTCCTACTCATCTTTCGGCGGATGCTGTGGCATGATCAGACATCGCCGTCGATACCGACTCGCCCAATGTAGTAGTTCTCATCTTTTTTCAGACCGACAGAATGTTTGTCAACCGAATGAGTTGCTGACCACCTCGTCTTGACTGCAATCGAATTTGTCATGCACTGCGGCCACGGTCGTGCTTGTAGAACACCACAACAACTGAATAGTCGAGTATCATCGTACTTGATGAACAAGAGCATGCTCTGCGGGCCTAAGTGATGCTGTCCTTGCTGGGTGAAACAGTAAACTTATTGTGCGAGGGGACGCGTAAAGACCAAAAAAAACTCGGGATAAATGATATTTATATATAACAAACAGATTTTGTTTTTGATTTTGTACCGAACTGCGGGAAGGTCATGCCACTGAATGATGATGATGGTGATGGTGATGTTACTCATTTGAAAAGAAGGAGAAAAAGAAAAAAGGGAATGAAATATTTGAAAATCTCTTTGTTTTCTGGTGTCAAAAAAAAGTAAATGCTTCTTTCGTGAAACTAAAACGTCTAGTGTACATCGTGCAAAAAAGTGCTAAAAGTTTGTATAATGTAAAATCAAAAAGAAAATAGTGCTAAAAGTCTGTACAAGTAACTTCTCGTCGAAGTTTGACAGGACCCTAAAACCCTCTAAACTCTACCGGGGTCGGTGCTGCGCCGACCACATTTGATAAAACTCCTGAAGTTTTTATTTGAACATTTTTTTTTTTTAATATTACAAATCACAAACTAAAAGCAGCGAGATAGCACATAGACAACCCGAGATCGGAGAGTGGAGTGATCTTGGCTCGTCGTCCTTGTTCCTTCGCGGTTCTCTATTCGTGGTTCGTAAATGCCATCTGACCCCTTCGCCTTGCGGCTCCAGACTGCTCGTCCCTTCTCCTCGCGACGATGCTACAGTTGTTTCGAACTTATAGAAATAAATTATCCGAAGATGGAGCAGGGACCAGTTTGAACCTAAATAATCCCACTCCAAAAAGGATGCCCCACACACTTCGCGTCTTACTAGTAGCCGTCATTTTCGATTCATCAAGATCAATTGAAAAGGCAAATACCGGCAAATATTTCCCTTTTAGGCATGATTAGCTACCCGTCGACCTCCTTGTTCCTCGCTTTGGAATATGCATTGCAAATGTGTATGGGCCTGGAAGAGTCCGAGTTTGTCATGCTAGACGTCAACATCGACACGAAAACGAATACGAAAATCTGTATTGCATAATCAGCAAAAGCCTCCACTTCTGGGCACGCCCCGAAGGCAGTATTAATATTTCTTATAAAACCTGCGAAGCTTGGGCTAGAGCCCGCATTCCAAAGAAACCTTCTGGGTCATGCGAACCCTGCATGATAAATTCTGCGTTCGTCCAGACTGAGAGATATTTGCAATGCATATGGCACACCACAACACCAGTTGCTCCTCCCACTCGGCTTCGCTGTCGGTGGCTGCGCAAGACTATCAGAACCAAAACCGCCCCGGAACCAGCATCAGAGCGGAAGCAACTTCAAGATTGCAATTCAAGACTGTATCACCAATAGATACCATGGGTGTGTAGTTTTCATTTTCTTTCTCTTTGACTTCTTTGACTTTGTCGTCATTCTCATTTTTTTTGTGCTACATGCAAATGAAACACAAACATTAGCATGCACTTCTACGTGTAAAAAGCACGGGATTTTTAGAAGAGAGTCCCGGCTCCTGCTTCCTCGGCTCGGGTACCAGTCGGGACGACGCTTTTTGGTGTCATACATGTGGCGAGTTAGTGAGCGTTTCGACGTCAACTAACAGCCCCGGCGCTGGAGTAGAAGGCGAGCCAACAGTGGCAGACGTAAGATCTTCGATAGCTTCTTCACGCGGGTGCGCGACATGAACATGGTGCGCCGCCTCGTCCACCTCCTGCTCCTGTTCATCCTGCTCGTATCGGCCAAACCCTTCACTGTCGGCAACCTGCTCCTCCTCGTACTGCTCTTTTCGACCAAAGCTTTCACTTCTGTCAGCAGCCACAACTTCCGGGTCCGTTTCCCGTTCGTCCTCTTTTGGTAGTAGCGGCTCCTTCAGCTCCGCTTCTTCCTCCGAGTTGTTTGCGTCTCCACGGGCTTGCGCGTCGTCCTTTGGCTCCTCCGTGACAAGACCCAGATTCTTTTCCTTCGCCGCTGGTCGGATCATACGGACCTTGTTCCATAAAACAGATCCCGCGCCGCGGAGGCAAGAAGTACAGCTGCTGCTACAAAATTTCCAGACGTACGGGGCCACGACGCTGAAGAGAACGCCCAGGAGGAAACCGGACAGGAACATCTGCGAACTAGGGCTGATATTCAGTGCTTCATGTAGCACGAAGTCAGAAAGTGGAAAGTCGAAGCCCTGCGCTCCGGAATCATTCGGGTCTTCTTCACCTTCTCGGGCGTCGGACGAAGAGGCGCTCCTAGTTGCAGTCGCCACCCCTGCAGCAATCGGCGCTGGAGCCGCAATAAGCAAAGTCGTGTGATGCTGGGGGTCTTCGTGTGCCATCTTCGTCTTCCTGTCTTCCATGTAGCCTGGGGCTGCATGTTGCAAAGATGACGATAACCCATCCGCCGCGTGGTCAGCCGGGCGGTTGGTCATGGTCATACCTTCGTCTCACTTATCAAAGCCAAGTTAGTTGTTTTGAGGCAGCGAACCTAGTGACGCCCTTTCCCCCCGAGTCGTTAGGCTGATAGATAATCGCGTGTGCGGAGAGCGGTCACCATACTACCGAAGGGGAAGCGCTACAGGAGAAGCGGAACTAAACCGCGTAAAATATAAATAAGTGCACAACTTGCAAATGCAATTGCATACATAATATAAGGCGCTTTTGAAAATAAATTCAGTGCAAACCCAAACCCCTGCCCGCACGTGTTGGAAAACTGCAGTGCAGACAGCATGAACAGATGTCCGACTGGTTCGACATATCGTCGTGCTTAGTTGCATCTCTTTCTTTCATTCAAACTAACAGAAGGTGGCGCTGCTACTAACCATCGCGCAGCTGCCCTGCCTCCGTAGCGCAATTGGAGTGGTCGCAAGAAGCCCGCTCCCACCTCATAAGTATATAATGCTCATCCTCATTCTTCAACCCTGTATTTGCATGAGCCCAACTACAGGAGAGGTCAAGCAATATCTGGCTAGCAACACCCTTACTGTGCCTCTGTTTGCATACATCTACGCCTGCTCCTGGTGCGTCATCAATCACGTGAGGGCCCATCGGTCTATATGCCCTAGAACGACGCGGGCTCAGGGGTAGTTTTGGAGCCGACTCAAAAGCAACTTTGCTAGCGTAGGTGCTGGGCGTCTGGTGTCCGCGTTCTCCAGGCATCTTCGGAAAAGACCAGGCGGGAGCCCTGCGGCCGTCGTCCTGGTGTTGAGCACTGCGAGGAACAGATGATCCCCCGAAACCGCCACCCCCTCCCCCACCGAGATCCAGGTCGGCTCCATCGCTTGCGCTACCGGCGCGGGTGGTCCGCCACGGTACCCCCGGTAGGCTCCGGAGTACGTCGTCGGTGGCGGTCGTGGTGCTCTGCGTTAGATTCGCCATGAGGGAGGTCTGTGTCTGAATGAATGCGCTACTGCCAAAAGGCTCGCGATTATGGAAACGTCAAAAAGACGACAGAGCACGAGCAAGCCTCTAACACATCTATTCTTCATTTTAATGCAGCAGCAATACTGAGAAACACTGAGCTACAAAACCCGCAGAATACTCTGCTACTAGTACTACTACTAACACTAAGAGGGCACCTGCATAAGAACACAGACGGGCAACCACAAGGCCACCACGTCACCTCGATTTGACGCAACACAAAAGGGGCCCACGAGAGCCGCTGCCACGTTGGCGTCGCCCTGCCCCATTGCAAACACTGCTTTATTAGCTTTAATCCAAGCTGCGCCCACAATAGAATACAAGGGCAACCGGCAAAGACGCGGCACGCGACTGGCTCCTTTTCTGGCAGCGGGCCGCCCCAATAAGCAAAAATGCAAAACCATGCCAGATTTCGGCGCCCAGTCGATTCCAATTATAGTGGCCTGCCGCCCCCGGCAATGAAAGCTCGAATGAAGCTGCGCGCCGTCTTTTCTTGTTCGAGTGCTTTTTCGCTTCTTATGGAGCAAATCCAAGCCGGCCCTCCTTTTGCCCGCCGGGAAATAGATATTTTTTCGGCGCCAACGTGTTGGGGTCAAGGATCACAAATAGACCATTGGCCAGCTGGCCCAGGATCCCGGTGGGGATGATCATAGGGGCCGGGTCCAACATCTGCCACGTCGCCATGGCGTCCTGGACTTTTTCTTCGGCTAAATCGGGGAGACGCGTATGCCGGTTGTCTTCTTCTGGCCAGACTAAACTGTCTCCGGTTCGACCTGGATACTGACGTTTGTTGTCGCCGAGAAACTGTTCCCAGGTTACCTTCGTATCCCTACACGCCTCCTTGAGGTTGAGCCAGTTCGTGTCCGCATTTGGCCGGAGCAACGCCAGATCTTTCTCCGGTATTTCACGAAGCAGACGCACGGCAGCAGGAGATTTTTCTATGGCAGAGGCGTCAAGTCCGGCTGCAAGAGCGGCGTTCTTTTGCATTGCTTTCCAGCTGCTGTAAACCCGGAAGCTGCCATACGTGGGCTCCTTTTTTGGTGTCAAGGAGTGCGAGATGGAGTGCAAGTGCAACGCATCATGCACACTCTTGTCCCAAGAATTTTCGGTCTGGGTAGATGCCTTGCTTCGGCTGGGGCTGTTCAGCGCCTTGGCAAGTTGTGGTCCCCACCGCTCCCAAGCTTTTTTTTCTAAAGCCCGTCGCTTCGTGGCATCCTCGGGGCTCACGCCGGGAGGCGGTTCGCCATGGATGTCATGCAAAAACGATATCGGTGCCAGGGAGGTCGGATGGAGAAGGACACGCAGGCCATTGGCAAGCTCGCCGACGATTCCAAGGGGGATCACCATATGCGTCGGGTCACGCATCTCTAACTTGGCCACCTCGTCTAAGATCTCTTCCGAGCGGCCCAATTTTTTTTTTGTCCTCGTCCAGAACTTTTCCTTGTCGAAGTAGTGTGCTTCGAACATGCTGCGTCCACTTTCGCCAAGCTTGCGCTGTTGCGAGTTTTGGATGAAAAGCTGGGCGGATAACGCGAGGCGATCTCCCGGCCCTACTATCCCACCGCTTTGTATTGTTGACGAAGCATTTGGATTGGCATTCATCATCGCGGGCTCCACCACCCGCAGGACTTTCATCTTTTCCTCTATTAATTGGTTCTGCGCGTTTTTCCATTGTTGGTACTTTAGGAAAGCTGCTACGCTTGGGCCCGTTCCCACAAAACCTCCGGGAATGCGATTGTCATGCGCTTGCGCCGACTTAAGCATTTGTCTTTCCCACTTTAGGCTCTTCTCTTGATCCACAACTTCAGACAAGGTTCCCCTCAGTGCTTCCGCCTCTTCCTTCGACAGCTGTACTGCTATCGTCAGTGTGCCGTGGTCAAGGATCTTCAAGTTTGCAGGCTTCCCTCTTAGAACGGGAGAAATATAAGTATCCTCGCCGAGTACCACCAGCTCTCCGTTCTGCATGTGCTTTTTCATCAGGGGAACGATCATACGGTTGTTGTCTTCCTCCAACCACCTATTAACCAAGTTTATTTTTGGTAGTGATATTTTGTTTCCTTTGTTTATGTTGCTCTGCAACTTTCTGGTAGTAGGCGTCGTATTTCTCCTCTAGAAGATCACTTACCCGTTGCCGAATCTCGTTTAAGCGTTTCGGAGCGTTTGGGTCCGAGGACAGGGCGTCTTGCAGGATCGCCTGACCCACATAGCCGGGCTTGCCAAGCTTTTCGCGTATGATCTTATTTTGCTCGTTTCTCCACTCTAAGTAGACGTCGAATCCGTCTTCATGGCTCTTCGAAGGCACTGTGTCATCCGCTGCGCCCGTGTTGCTAATATCCCTCTCGTCCGCTGTTCTGCACTCACGCCGCGTTTTCTCCTCCCAGTCCTCGTCCTGTTTGCTTCCGCCCAACTTCTTGAGACAATCTGTAGTATCTTCGCAAAACTTCTTTATTTTATTGTCATCCTCACCAACACCATCATCCTCTTTAGCTATCAGATCCATGAAGCGAGCCCATTTGGCGCTTGCCGGCGGCCCTCCCGCAAGCGTCCGTGGATGTGAGCGGCCCCGACCCATTTCATCTGTACTAGACGCGATGCCTTCACCATCATTAGTATGTACCCGCCCCGGATTGCTTTCGCTTGCTGGTCGCACTCCCACCTTCCCGTTGCTCATCTCCAACTTCCATCCAGGTGTTTGTTCTACCGCTAGCCAACACTGCAAAAGCAAAGCTGCGCGCATAGACGCTTTTCCGGAATATTGGTAGTACTGAACTGCCATCTTCCTTTTCAGTTTCACCTCGTCTGCTCTGCTACATTCTTCCTCCCTTTCACTTTTTGCGCTCGCACCGCTACGGGTCATTTTCGCCGACGTTTCTTTCAACAGCCCTATGGTCCTCGACGACACTGCAGACTCGGGGTCAGGCAATCAAGAACATGTCGTCCAAAATAAAATTTTCATCCAAGAACAAGCTCAGGAAAAGCCACCATGACTCCGCCATAAGATAAAGACCACAGGCGCCAGTGTGGCATATCCTAATATGTGTCACTCAACAATGCGAGCCAATGGCAGCAATTCCTTGATGATGAAGAAGAGTTTTATATTCATTGAGCATGGGCTTTATGATCATGTATTTTACAACTTTTTCAGGATGATAAAACTCAAACTTAATTATATGAAATCAAAATTAGAAAAATGACTTAGAGTTACCAGAGAGATGAATGAGAGTCCTCGGGGTCCTCGGTCCTCCTTGTAGTTGATGATGTTCATACGCAATGGGAATCTACATCTAGATCTAGATATGAAAAACGACCAACAGAAAACATTTCCCTGGTAATCAGCTCTGAACTCAAATTCAAGATGATTTTTGATGACCGTAAGGATATTCAGGAAATCTAAATTCTAAATTTCTTGTGAAAATAATCAACGAAGCGAAAATATTTATACAAAATGCTGGTCGTCATCATGAACGTGACCGCAATATCCTGCTCCGTTGTAGGTGTTCAAGACCTTGCACATGCACGTTGCGCATCGCACGAAACGAAACGTCAAAATGTACGAATCCGATGAGGAAAACGACAGAAGCGAAAGCTCGAAATTGCACGCACCAGCAAACCGATTCGAAAGTCAGAAGACAACTTCTAGTCTACGTTCATTTATTTCTACTGGAACTAGGTATACCGAACTTACAAGACCACGACAGGCACAGGGTGAGTAAAGGGATACAGACAGGACCGACACTTCATCATGACCGCGCCGGCAAGCGGAACAAGAACGAAACCGACGAGGACGATTCAATCAGGTCCACCAACTTCTTGCTTCTATATAGACCGACAAACAACGCAAGGTAAACTTTCGCGAACGAAGGATGAACTGTGAGCATTCAAACAAGAACCGATCGTAGCTAGTATACAATGTTGCGACTCAGCGGTAGCCGTAGCAGCACGAACACGACCCACTTGCATGATAACCATAACCGACGAGCGAGCGTGGAACCGACTTAGCTAAAGCCTTCAGAGCAAAAAAAGCTGAAGCGCCCACGTGGTGGAATAGGAATATTTCCACCTGATAAATACATATTTTCTGCGTGGTTTGCTTTGTCGCATTTGATGGAACAAGACGACAACGCCATCGTCCACGTGGCCCTGTTCACAAAAAAAAAGCCGACAAGCCTCTATACCTATTTCTGCCCTTAGAGATACAGTCTTTCAAACCTGGTCGCGAGTAGTTTCGCCAACGGAAAACCCGCTACCAGCAAGAACAGATTGACCACAGACGTCCCTCCCCCCTTCAGCAGTGACTTCACAAACACCAGACAGCCGAACAGAAACGCGATCGGAATCAGCACAAACAACGCTATCAAATGCAAAAGTGTCTGGGCCTGGAAGATTCCGAGATTTGTCATGCTAGTCTGGCGTGACTCTGTACTCTGTATTGCGTGGCCACCACGAGGTCCTCTTGCCTGTCATGCAAAAGTGTAGTTTCCCATGCAAAATACGCATCACAGAAGCACGAAAAAAATTGTCATGCTTGGCGGCGCATTACAGAGCACTTATTGTTCACGGATTTGCATATACAAGTTTCCAGACCCAGAAATTTTTGCAATGCCTAAGCGCAAACGGGCTTTCAATCTTGGCTTCCCCCCGTTCCATCTCCGGTCGGTTTTTATGGAAGCGTCAGGTTTGAAATCGTCAAAGTTGAAATAAGTTGCCATGCATAAAATGCAAGGCCTGAAGTGCCTGTCTTGCCGGGATGGCAAGTGAGGCCGCGTGTCAGCCTGTTTGGGGTCTGCGACAGAGATGCTAAAGCAGCATGACAAAAGACGCCTTCTGTCCCTAAACAGCATCACAGACAGGATTTAGACGGTGCCGAAATTTGTCATGCACCACCTAGAAATTGGGCTTCCAACTGTTGTCGATTTTATGCATTACAAATTATTTCAACTTTGTCGATTTCATCAATCCTCACACTCCCATAGTTTTTTCGCAAGGAGTAGAACGCAAGGATCTCCAGGAGCGCCGCGAGAGAAGCGAAGCAGTTGTCGATCGCGAGTATCTATCCTGTGCAAAAGTACCGTATTCGTTTCGTAGTTGTAATTATTGCAGTCATGCATTACAAGTTTCTTTCTTAAGGTAAATCGAAATCCCCATGACAAATTCTTACTTTTCATGCTGAGGGAATTTGTAATGCTAATGCATATATACGAGTACGATACTTTTGCAATGCATAGTATCGATTGGAAGTCGAAAAAGATGCAGATAATGCAGAACCCGAGGGAGGGGATCATCGCAACGACAGGTGTGTCAAATTTCGGATGCCGGTAGTCCATCTTAGTCCGAGATGCAATGAAAATGTCTCGGGGTCTGGAGCGGCCTTGTAATGCTGAGTCGTGGATCATGAGTGAGGCATTTTGTTCAAGTGCAGCCAAGTGCCACAAGTTGTTTTTAGAGCCTTTTCTCATAGGAAGATAGGAACGGCGTTACAAAAGAAAACCAAACGGCGTTATTGCATGACAAAGTAGGCGCCCCCTCAGCCTCCGCTTGTGCCGGTCATGATGCAAGACGGATTTTACGGGAATGCAAGACAAGCAATACAAGTTTCAATTTTCCCGCAAACTGGACAGATTTTCCGTGCATATCCACCTCGGAATGACATCGGCAGCGGTGAGTCCCTCTATCACACCAAAAAGTGTTAACGTTAAACAAAATTTGGCATGCAGGAATGCACGACAAATGAGTCCAAAATTTGTATTGCCTACTCGATAGCATGCATGATAGCGAAAATTTGTCATGCGTGATTACAATTATGGCGATGTCAACTATCTCAACAAAAAGATTCTCAAAAATTTTTGATTAGGTGCATGAGTTAACTATTTACAAAGAGGCGCTTTTAGCTATTAAACTAGCTATTTGAAGCGCATGCATTAGATAGATCAGTGAAGTAGGTACCTTCCTGGTCCGCCGCTCTGCTACTTTCCGGACTTGATCTCCGACAACTAATGAACACGGAAGCCCATGCGCGACCCTCTGGGGCCACCCTCTGGGAGGGCTGAGGAAGAAGGGAAGTGAAGCATTTTTTTATGGTCTGAGTACGTTGTTAATTCCCGATGGTATGGCGAAAAAAGTGCTGGGGGCTCAGGGAAACTTTCTCACACCTATTTCGAGACCCCTCTGGAGGTACCCTCAGAGGTACCCCTCAGAGGTACCCTCTGTGAGGTCAAACCAACCTTCGAAGAGTCCGGGAGGCAACAGATCGGGAGACCAGGAAGCTACCTACTTCACTGATCTATCTAATGCATGCGCTCAGGCTAGCTACTGGAGCACATAAAAAGTAATTACATCAATAGGCATCTTAAGTAGCTATCCAAAAATTCTTGAGAACGTTTTTGTTGAGATAGTTGACATGGCCATAACAATGCCCCAAAACCGTTAAGGTTAGCACTTTTTTGTTTGATACCCTCCAGCTGGTAGCTATCTTCCATCAACTCGGCCGTGAACATCCCAGCATTGCCGAAGCAGGAAGCGAGAAGCAGGAAGAAACCCATCCACGAGGCGCGGGACGAAAACAACCGGGACGAAGACTGGTTATCATTATCCGCTGCTGCGAAGGAAGACGACGCCGCCTCGACGATTTCCGGCAACGAACCGTCCTTCCAGTCCTGCCACGGTAGGATGTTGCAGCTTGCGGCCACGGAAAGAATGACCAGGTACTGCAGGATCGTTAGAAGGAGAGAGTACAACAGCGCGGGCTTCAAGTTCTTCTCCGGCTTGTACATTTCCCCGGCGATCGTGCTGACGCAGTTATGCATTGCAAATACGTCTGGATCTGGAAAAGGACCAAGTTTGTCATGCATATTTTCCATGACCCATGAAGTCTGTGACGCATGCCCGAGCATCACACATTCTGCGAGAGCTTTCTGATGGTCATACCGCATGAGAAATACCCCCTTCGCGTGGCAAAAACTGGATCTCTTTTGCTGTTCGTGCAATACAGGTTTTATGTAGAGTCCAAACTTAGCATGACAAGTTGCATCCTCGCAGACCCAGATAGATTTGCAGTTGATAGCAGTCCCACCCCGACAAATTCCAGTAGATGACGCACAGAAAATCCGTAAATCTCGCGGGCTGAAGCCCGTCCTCGGGGCTGAAGATAGAAATGTCGAGATCGGACGGGAAAAGGGAGGTGAGGAAGGATAAGGACGTGTAGCTAGATGCGTCATGTTGTTGATCTGTGGTTTGTATCTGTAATGGTACTCGTTTTTCTTGCCCGCCTAGAAGCTGGCTCGCAGATGCAGAAGTCAGGAATGCTGATGACTGGAGTTCGGTCACTCCTTGCACTACCTGAAGTACTGCAGCTGGACTGGCGCTTGAGGACATTTGCTGCGGGAACAGCATGCTGCTACCCTGGCTTTGCTGCTCCTGTTGTTGCAGCTGCGTCACGACCTGCTGGACCGCGTGACCCGGTGTGGTCAGTAGGCTTGCCGGATGCAACATCGTGCTGTCCAGAGCAGAAGAAGAAGTTCCTGACAAAGCACTACTAGCCGCCTCCTTACTCCTGTACTCGAGCAACACTGAGAAGTCCAGTTCGCCCCAGTGAAACACCAGGGTAATGAAGAGAAACGCGAGAAAGGGCAACAGCTGCAAAACACCGAGGACCTGCAGAAACTGACCGGTGCCCGTTATGCAATACAAATTTCCCGCACATGTACAAAATGCATCACAAATTTCACCACGTTAGAAGAAGCAACGTGTCATGCTGAAGAGGTTTGAAGGAAAAGTTTGTCATGCGGAAGCCGCACTTGTACGTGTACGGAAAATTTACTGTGGATACCCGTGGTGGAGATCACATTTGGGACGGCGAGGAGCAGAACTAAGGCGAGTTTGCACGCGTATTGTGCTTCGTCGGACCAGTCGTTGATGTTGGGAATGTCCGTTACTGTTGTTCCGAAAAACGAAGTAGTAGACGGGGATGAAGTTGTAGATGCTGGCGCGGCGGCGGGAGATGATGTTGAAGAAACGTGCGAAGAAGTTGTTTTTGGTGCTGAATAGTAGTGCTTCACGCCGTCGAAGAGCAAGACCGGGTAGACTGCGTTGTCCACGACCCCGCTTGTCAATCCTATGCAAAAGCATCGTAGTCCTAGTCATAATAATGCAGTCCTGCATGACAAAATTTTTAATTTTACCTGCGTCCCTGCATTAAAGAAGTTTCACTCTTTTGCTTCTTCGGAGCAAAATTTCTCATGCAGCCTCCTGTACTTAGCTACGATACTTTTGCGCGTCATATTACCCAGCTGTAGTAGCTTTCCATCGTCCCCCAAAAGGGTCCAAAGGCTTCCGTGACCCACAGACTGTAGCCCCCATTCACCGGAAAAGCGGAGGAGAGTTCGCTCGTGATCAGGATCTGCGGGTAGCTCCAGATGGCAGAAACCACTAGCACGGCGATGATGCCTACCAAAGGCCCGTAGTCGCTGAAAATTTCCTCGCTGCCCCAGGGCCCGTATGCACTGCAAAAGCATCGCACTCATACTAATCGCATTTATGAATATACAAATTTTTCTGTCAAGTTGAATCCGCATTACAAATTTCATTTCTCATGCTGAGGAAATTTGTCATGCGATTTATACTAGTACGATGCTTTTGCAGTTCATAGCCCGCCCGAAACGTTGAAAAAAACGATGGCCATGACCGCGAATTTCGACAGCTTGTTTTGCTGCATCAACAGGGATATCAAATGTAAAAATCTCTGGGTCTGGAAGATGGCATGTTTGTCATGCTTGTCTGGCATGACTCTAAAATCTGTCACGCACGTTACCCAAGAGCGCCATTTTTCTGTCATGCAGGAACGCAGCCTGTCATGCAGAATAGGCAACACCTAGAAGCTCAGAAATTTGTCATGCTGAGCGAGCACTTGTGGCCTCCTCATGATACGCTACCAGCATCACAAGTTTCCAGACTCAGACATTTTTGCATTTGATAAGGGAAAAATCCCGGTGCTGGGCGAGTTGCTGCGACGTCGAGGAGTTGGCGCGGGTGAGAAACGCGGAGGGGTGTTGCGTATCAAATGTAAAAATGTCTGGGTCTGGAAGATTGGAACTTGTGATGCTAACTTTGGACCCTAGAAAAATCTGTATTGCATGACCAGCAAGAGGAGTCTAGTTTGTGCTACGCGGGGAGGGCGTTTGTCATGCGGAGTAGGCATCAGGAAGCCAGCTCAAAATCTGTGATGCGCGGTCGTGCATTACAGACATCCTGGATCATGCAAAACATGCATGACAAATCTCAGAATCTTCCAGACCCAGACATTTTTACATTTGATACTGCGGGAGCATATGGTCGGGAGCCGCGGTGCTGTCGAAGCTTTGCTGCGCGGCAGGTTTGCTGGTGACCGTTTGGTCTCCTGCTGTCGAAGATGGGTCGCCGAGATAAAGGGGCGGCGCTCCTGGCCCAACAGCAGGTTTATGATCCGGCATGGGGGCGGATGGCGTGGTTATTATCCTGCCTTGATGATGAGACTGCTGTTCTTGTAAATCCGCCGCACTAGGTGCGAATTGCTGCTGCTGCGCAGGGGATTTTATTTGGGCAAACGGTCCTCCAGGCGGGGAAACGACTGTATGCGACTCTGGTGGACTTCCAGCGGGGGCAGGGGAGCGGGTATGCAGGGGAAAAAATATCTTTCAACTTCAACCAATTTTTTGGACATAGGTTGTATAATTGTATCAATGAATCCGGCCTACAGGACTCAACTACACCAAAAAGTGAAGGACTATCCGACCTATTTTGAAAGTTCAAGTTGATTTTGATGCTTGTGGGAGATGAAATTTCACCTGCAATACGATGCGCGCGAAAGTGACGTTGCCGCTTTCCAGGATGACAGAACTCCGGCGTAAACCCTGTATTTGAGCATGGTGTAAGTGTAACTAATACAACATGCAAATGAAAGCTAAGGTGGTAATAAAGAGCGCATGTTTATTCGGGTTGATCTTGATTTTGGTGTTCGTCGTCATTCATCAATCACTAGTTCGTTGCAGCACTCGAACTGGATTACCGAAACCGATTATGTGGACAACATAAAAAAAAAATCGACTCTTGCAGCTTTCTTCATCAGTGGTACCAGTCCACAAAGTTCGTCTTCTTTTCCGCGTATACCACCGACCCGCCATGCGGTGAGGAGGAGAGCTGCCTGGTCACCGAGGAGCTTCCGTGCGCTCTGGAGGATCCTCGACCGCGAGCGGGCGCTCCTGCGTGGGAGCCCGCACTGGTGGTTAACATAGAATATCGTGTTCGAAATCATATATATTAAAAACGCCGAGCAACTACAAAACTCGTCCACGACCTGGTCATCAAGAAAGCAGCAGGAGGTCGCAGGGAAAAGCAGAATTGAACACTAAGGTTTGCACTTCTAGACGCTCGTCATACAAACATCGATTTTCCACACGATATCGCAGACGTGTCGATGTGTAGCGCGGCACCGTCCTTTGACCGTGTTCTCCGTCGCTGATGCGTCGAGGAGGACGAAGATGTCCCATGCGGCACGAAAGCCGCGGTTGTGGTTGCACCTCCAGTCGGGGCGGCCGCGGTGGGTCCAACAACTGCACTACTGTCGTCAACTACACTATGGAAGCGTCAGGTTTGAAATCGACAGAGTTGAAATGATTTGTCATGCATAAAGTGGATACCAGTTGGAAGCCCAATTTCCAAGCGGCGCATGGCAAATTCTCGGAGCAACGGAATCCAATTTGTCATGCTGTTTGGGCACAGAAGACTGCTTTTGTCATGCTCCTTTAGCAGCTCTATGCCAAACCCTAAATAGGCTCACGATCTGCCTCACTTGCCATCCCTGCAAGAGAGGCGCTTCATGTCTTGCAATTTATGCATGACAAACCGTTTCAACTTTGACGATTTCAAACCTGACGCTTCCATATACACCTCCAGCAGCCATTGCAGTGGAGCTCGTGCTGGTCCCGCGCGGAGTCGCCGACGAGGTCGGGGCTGGCAACAATGCACGACTGCTGGTGCTATCCCCTGCAGGAGCTCCGGCGACAAAAAATTTTCTCGACGACGAAGTTGACGGAGGGGGGAAATAAGCGAAAGACGCTTTATTACCACCGCCTGCGCCCCCTCGCGGCGTGGACCCCCGGCTAGTGTGGTCCACCTGTTCTCCGCCCCCGTCGGAAACAATTTGCAGCTGCAGGTCCACCTCCCTATGGTCATTGCGAAAATCGATGTCCATTTCAAATTCCGGATGTTTTTCTGCTAAAACGTCGTGCGCTCGCGTTTCCAACAGTCTCAATGTGTTGTCGTCCAGATGCTGCATTTGCACGGTCCGGTACTGCTTACTCGGTGTGGTTTGCTGCGTAGTACTTTGCACTGAGTCTTTCGGCGGCTCGAGAAGCAGGTGGTACTGCGTAGAAGTTGTTATACTGGTTGTAGTGCCACCAGCAAAAGCAGCAGCAGTAGTTCCCGGCGCCTGTCGCTTTCCCCCGCGTGCAACGTCTTCCTCACTCGTTTCTCTTTGAGAATCTGACGGCTGCATTTGCCGCTCTAGCAGCTGAAACGGCGGGCTGAAATAGTTCGTGATCCCCTTCCCCGCTGGGGCATGTGCTTGCTCTTGTCCTGCGCGGAAGGAGGACGCAGGTACTAGCAGCGAAGATTGCTGGTTCGTCAGGAGTGTGAAGGGGTCGTACTGTAGTGAAGGAGCACTTGGCTCTTGATCTCCTGCAGGAGCTGCCCCTCCTGCAGTTCTTGTGCCACTATACTCGCCTCCGTCGATGTCGCGCAGCAGATTGGTTTTCTGTTCATCCAGAACGACGGCAACGGAGTCGGTGTGCGCGAGCGATTCTTTAGCATCCTCAGAAAGAACAAGATGAAGCTCCCACTTTTCCAGTCAATTTGTGATGCCAAACCAGAAGTAGAACCTGTTTTTGTCATGCAGAAATTGAAATCGTGCATTGAGACTTCTGAGAGGATCATGGGTTTATCTATTCTTTTCCTTTGGATATTCCTCCACAATTTCCTCCAGGACATAATCCTCCAGAGCGGCATCCTGCTCGACCGGCTGTTGCAGATGAAACACCCACGGCATGGTACTGGCGGTTTGGGAAAACAGCAGCGAGTAGGGGTCCCGGATGTCCAAGGGGGGTTCGCGATTACTGGAAGAACTGTTCGAAGAGGACGAGGAGCTACTAGATGATCCGGCGGCAGAAGATCCGCCCCCGACTGGGAATAAATTACCACCGGACTTGCTGGTATTCGTGTTCTATCAAATGCAAAAATGTCTGGGTCTGGAAGATTCTGAGACTTGTCATGAACGGTTTGCATGAGCCATGATGTCTGTGATGCCTGCCCTAGCATCACAATCTTTTTCAGGGATTCTTGATGCCTATTCCGCATGACAAATGCCCTCTCCGCGTACCAACAATTAGACTCCTTTTGCTGCTCACGCAACACAAATTTCTTAGACATCCAAATGCAGCATCACAAGTTGCATTCTTCCAGACCCAGACATTTTTACATTTGATATGTTCTGTTTCGTCCGCCGGGTATCGTCGGAAGTGTGGGTGTATCCACAGAAAAAAACCCATCCGTATCCAATTTGTCATGCAGAACACGTATCAAATCATGTGTTTGTCATGTTGGAAGGCTAAGGGCAGGGCGTCCCATTCGTTTATAAACTTAAAATGGATGTGTTTGTCATGCAAAAAATGGATGTGGATGGGTTTTTTTCTGTGGATAGGGTGTTGGCCGCGCTTGCGACGGATGTTGAAGGACCCACGTCGGAGGTGTCGTTACCTCTAGCAGGTCTGGAACTACTAGAAGCTGCGCCAGAGAGGTCGTTGTGGCCTTCCCTTTCTTGATTCCGGTTTTGCTCGTCTGCGGAAAGAAGCGGCACGGTTTTGTAGTCACGGTTCCCCGGGTTCAGGTCTTCCGGCAACATCTTCTTGAAGCGATCGTGGACGAGGCGTCCGGGTTCGTGGTCTTCATGCAAGACAAATTATAGAAGTGCTGGTAGAGGTAGCCACGACGAGTCGAAAAAATTAGGTGCGTACGAATGAAACGGCGCGATGCAAGCAAGCGTAGTTATTTTGATACTTAAACTTGAACTGGCACTACTACTTCTGACACGAGAACTACACAAGTAGGAACTACAGAACAAGATTGGTACGGCTGGCGGTTCTGTTCTGCCAGTAGCACCACAACAACTCTGGTGGTAGCTGCAATAGGCACAGCCGGGCAAGTTAGAAGAAAGCACACACACACACACACACACACACACACACACACACACACACACACACCGCTCAAAACGCATCATCGTTCTCCTTGGTATCCTCTTTGTCTTTTAGTACAGTGGCAGTGTCCTACCATCTGCCATTTTATCAACACCGCAGTTCTTCGGACGTAGTGTACGACACACGAGGACAACAGCCAGATATCGCGCAAGCTAAGAGTAAGAAGAAGAACAACATCAGAACATAACGATGAACACGACGCATTCATCTCCACGCTCAGCATACTTGTTCAGCAGGCGCCTGTGATGAAGTAGGTGTCAACAAGCCATTTTCAACAGTAGCGACTCGTCCTACCTCGTAGGTTTTCTCACGACCACGACGTGGAGCAGCTTATTGCTGAAACTAAAAGAGATTCTGACGCTCGGTTGTTTGCCTGCAGCTCACTATCACTATCTGCTCAGCATCTTTATCTTTTTCAATTTTCTCATCAACATCATAGAAAAAACCCGCTGAAGTAGTTTCGCACCAGGTTTGTCGGTGCGATGTGCGGCTCACCGAGTCGCAAATGAAAGAGCTGACAAGCTTCCAAATCCTCCGCGTTTCCACCATCTTCTTTCACCGCGTTTCCTCCCGCAGTAGGCGCATTGGCATCGGCGCCGCCTCCCTTCACAGGAGCTGCTGGCTCTACGCTGTCCCGGCCAAACCAGTACTGGCACCTCCCGAGAAATTCGTCGTTATTCCGGCCCGCCATTCGCAACGGCTTGCTGGTATGCAATACAAATTTCCCGTACGCATCGAGGGCGACGTCGACGTATACAAAAATGCATGACAAACTTCGCCAACTTAGGCGGGTTGTGTACCACCAATTGCCATGCTGATGAATAGGATCGTCATTACGCAGAAACAGCACTTCTTTCTGCGAAGGCGTACGGGAAACTCAACCTCAAGCACTGTGGATAGCCGTTGCTCGGAATCTTGAAGACCCGAAAGTACTTGTAATGGCCCGTTTTGGTACTTTTTCCGAAAATACCGAAGGTGGATATGAGGAAGAAAATTTTGTAGTTGAATCAAGAAAAACAGGCATTACAACCGAAGCAGGCAAGGCTACACTACGCGAGTGTAGTGGGTGCAGGCACATCACATAAGATGAATGACGCAGCGTCGTAGGTGTTTCTTGTAGAACTTCAACTTCTATTAGGTAGGTGTAGCGCCACATCAAACTACAACATTCACATTCTGCAACCAGTATCCACTTGAAGTTCACCCACCTACTTCAACTTCGCGGCCCCACAACTTGATCCAAGATGATTTTTTGTATTTCCACTTTTCATACGATTCAGGATGTTGGAGAGCAGATTTGTGGTGAAATCGGCTGCATCATCCAGATCGTCCACTAGGCCGTTGTCATCGTTCGAGGTGTATGCAGTGCAAAAGTATCGCGCTCGTACTTCTAATTATCGCCGTGTCGCATGACAAATCCATCAGGTAAGGGAAATCAGCATTACAAATTAATAATTACACTTTCTCTCTCGGAAAAATTTGTGATGCGATTTACGCTAGTACGAAATACTTTTGCAATGCATAAAGTGATCGCCTGCACATTGTCCACGTATCTGCCATATGGATTGCAAAAATGTCTGGGTCTGGAAGAATGCAACTTGTGATGCTATTTTTGGAATCTAAAAAAATCTGTATTGCATGAGCAGCAAGAGGCGTGCAGTTTTTGCTCCGCGGAGAGGGCATTTGTCATGCCGGATAGGCATCAAGATACCCGCAAAAAATCTGTCATGCAAGGTCATACATTACAGGCATCATAGCCCATGCGAAATATGCATGACAAACCTTGTTGAAGAAATCTTCCAGACCCAGACATTTTTACAGTTCATATGCCAATGTCTTCGTCGAGAGGTGTCACTGGCGCTAGCTTGTCTTTCACCCACTTTCGCCCGTCCGCGTTGGAAACCACGAGGTCTTGGAGTGCGGTGGAAAGCGGCATAGTTTAAGTTTAAGTTTGGCTGCTGAGTTCTCAAGTAGTGGCGACAGAGAGCGACTTCGTTCTGAAAAATATGAATATCTAAATCATTGCCTTTTACTCATTTCGATAAATCCTGATCACGACCACGAAGATGCGCTCAAGAAAAGATCCGCGCCCGCAGCACGAACTGCCAACTATAAAAATCGACGAGGACGAGCTGCCAACATGCCTGTAACAAAAGAAGATCACTTTACGACGACGGTCGACGACAAGACTATATGCCTCACTCCATGGGCACGATCACGACCATAACGATTTTGTTCAGTCGTGTCGTTTCCTTTTCGAAAACATTCGACGGCAAATGCTTTCCCCACAACGCGATGCTACGAACAGAACGAGCTCTGAAGATCACATCAGGAAGAAAAGCGAAACAGGTGCACATAATGAAGCGATGAGATCATCATGTCCTCGCCATTTCTATCGCTTCGGTGCGCATCAAAAGCAGACTGACTAGCGTATAGCTTTAGCTGTAAAAATCCAGCTGCATTCAAGAAGTACGCGTGCCTAGTGGTCACAGGCGTGAGTTTGTATTTGATCGTCTGTGTCCTCAAAAATGTACATAGCAAACGTGCAACAAATGCAGATCCTTCGTGTGTACAAATATCTTCAAGTTTCAATTTCAGCGAGCACCGCGTCGCACGCTGGAGCCGCCTGTAATCTACATTAATTTTCTGGCGTCTGATCATCCAAGTTAAGCAATCTCGTATAAAGTAGTAGAAGTAATATGTCAAAAGCGTAAACTGTTGTAAGGTAGTAAGTACTATACTTTCATCTTAGTCGACAAAACAGCTAGCGATAGTGTGCCAGCATCTTCCTCTTCGGTAAAAAGTCGTTTCCTTAATTGCTTTGTTCTATCGTTCTACTCTTCCTCCTCCTCGTCCTCCGACACTGACCTCGAAGAGACCACCACAATATATCGCTGTGGCGAAAAGAAATCCGCACTGCAGGGGGTAAAAGCTGCTGCATTTTGGTCGTCAGGATGATCTACAACGACTTGTTGGTCCTCGTGCGGTCTGTTGTAATTATCGCGGCCTCGTCGTTGTGGTCCTACATCGTCCTGATTCAGCATGGTGGTGATGTTTTTCATTGTTCCCTCGTCCGCGCTGCTCAAGGGGGAGTACAGAGAGACCATCTCATCGTCTTCGACAGGATCATCTTCAAAATCTTGTTTCTCGTGGCGCCGTCTTCCTTCCTCGTCGGAAAAAGTATCAATTTTGTCGCCGAAAATTGAAGTGACTAGTGGAGGGTGAACACGTGTCGTTGCGGATGGAACTTTTCCAAGCATTGCACTGCCAATACCGGGTGGCCGTAGTGATGAAGCCCGCCCGTCTCTTGATGTCGCTCCGTGTGTAGTGGAAATACGGGAAAGACCTTGCTCCAGGACCTCCCCGCTGCCGCCGCGATTACCCCACACACCATTCTCTATTTCAGTGTCGAAGAAGGAATTCAAATTCGGTTCAAATGAGCGCTCGTGTATTTTTTGCAGCAGCGAAGATTCATCGGTCTTGGCACTTCTTGCGCTGCCTATGCTTGGGGAGGAAGAGGACGAGGAACAGGATGAAGTAGAACAAAAACCCCCACCTCCAGAACAAGACTCCTGAGAGGACGCCGGGTAAGAAAACTCCTCCTCCGGGTAGTACAGGAGATTCAGATTTTTCTTCTTGTCTGATTGTGATTCTGAAGATGTTGGAGGAATCTGCATCTGCTCTTGATTTTCATCTACTTGCTCTGTCTGACTCGGCGGTCTGTTTTTGTTCGAGCGCTTCAGGTTCAACCGCTTGTTGCTTTTAGAAGTAGTTGCACTATTCATCGGCGAGGAGGAGAGCGCCACAGGTGGGGCTTTTGATCCAATTGCTGGCTGCAGTGGCGGTGGTTGTCCCGCACCCCACGAACGAAGTTGCGCCGACTGATCGTGGTAGTCCGAAGTCGCGTTAGTGCTGTTGCTGGTGTCTGACTTCAACAGGCGGTCGCGCGTAAACATGTTAGAAACAGGCTGACGCTGACCAGTTGTCACCTCGTCTGGAAATTCTTGACGTCCCGGCTGCCCCCCTCCTGTCACGACGGTCGTGTTAGTAGCCGTGACTTGCGAAATAGTGCTCGAGACCGACACTTGCGCAGTACTCCGGCTAAAAGTAGAGCCTTCTTCTGGGTTGCTAGTACCGGTGGTTCCGTTCCGCAGTGTAACGACATGATGATCCGTGCTGTTCTTGCTGCTGTTCGTCCCACCTACTAGGACTTGTGCACCAGCGTTGAATTGCGTGTCCTCACCATCCACCTCCAAAGGGGGGATCTCCAGCGCCACAATTTCCTTTGTTGCAGTTCCAGAAAGATGAACGAATGCACTATTACTAGACCCAGAAGGTCCAGCGGCGGCCGACGTAGTCTCCTCGTTAAATAGTCCCCCCGCCGGACTAGTACTACTTTGCGCGGGACTGAGACTTGCTTCGTCTTCCGGGCTGCTCGCGGCAAGAAGGGCAGTTTGGAGCAAGGAGTTTGAGGACGAATTTGTGTTGCTGGTGGTGGTGTTATTTGTTCCCGCTTCTGCTCCACTTGAGGTGGCGACTGTGCTTGCAGTTGCAACAGTTACTATTCTTCCGCCATTACCAGTCCCTTCTCCACCCAGTCTGCTATTCATCATCTGGGAGTCGTGTAGCAGCTTGGTACTCTCGTTCTTGAAAAAGAAATCGAGATTTTGTTTTTGCTTGTCTACTTGTTTTCCTCCTCCCGGAGGAGGACCCGCTCCTGCCGATGGTGCATTCGCATCCGCATAGTTTGCTGAAGCTGCTGGTGCTGCTACTGCAGTAGTTGTGGTACTGGTTGTTGTAGATGAAGCTCCTACACCGTTTCCTGCTCCTACTCGTTGTTGCGAAGATTCCGGTACAACTATTTTTCTGGCCGGTTCTTGTCCTTCCGCGAGGACTTCTGTAGAATCACCAGTAGACGCCTGCCTAGTATCTTCCTCCTCACTGACAACCTGCTCATCTGGTTCCGCGCCAGCACTGACTAACTCGAAGATTTTCAAGGGCAACAGTTGCTGCGTTGAAGACAATTCGGAATTGAATTTGAACTCCTCCGAGGCCGAGGTAGGACCACCATGATCTCCTGGACTACCGGGCTGCTCGGACGAAGAGACCAGATTATGGTAGTGGTAAAAATCTTCATCTCCAGCATCCTGTTCGCTCTCTGCTTGCAAAGACGTCGCTTCTTCCGGGATATCGCGCAGTAGTTTTTCTCGCGTCGAGGCATGAACTGGGACAAGATGAGGTACTAGAGGCGTCTTGCCAATACCAGGTTGATGCTGTTGATTTCCACTCCCCCCGCCACCTACCACTGCTTGTGGATGATGTTGAGGAGCGCCAAGTCGTGAGGAGCGCCAAGTCGTTGAGTAATTCGAACTTGCTCGTCCTGGAACGTCGACAGCATGCTCTTCTAGAAGTGGGTCGTGCAGTTGGCTATCCCTATTAACGCTACTCCGACTAGCGACAGACGCTGTGGTAGTAGTTCGGCTGTTGGTGGAAATTTTTTTCGCACTCTTGTTCTGGTGCAAACCTGCTGGTGTGCCGGGTGATGGTATCATGTCCACCACTTCGTGTGCCCTGTCACCAGTGTCGTCTTCGTGATGTCCTGCAGCTTCTACTTCTTCCGTGAAATCGCTAGCACCGTCTTCCACCGTCGTTCGCGGATTGTAATCGAAAGCATCGTCGATGTACCTCTTTTTCTTCTTTCTCTTGTTCTCCCCTAATCTTCCCTTTGCTTTCTTCTCGTTAGTCTCGTTCTCCATCAAAGCAGCCCGCGCGGCCGTGGCGAAGCGCAAAAGGCGTTCCTTCATTTTTTCTCCTAGTCGTCTTTCTATTTCTTGGTCAACAACTACTGCTGCAGCAGCTGTCGCTGTACCTTGTTCTCCTCCATCAACTTCAGTTTTTAACCCAGCTTCCTCCTCGAGACTGCTCGTCGTACCGTCTGCATCCTCGTCCTCCTCCTCCTCCTCTCCGAATTCGCCGGGGTTGGGAATCAACAACATCACCGAGTCCTGGTCGATCTCGGTAACAGGCTCGACCTTATCAACTGTAAAAATGTCTGGGTCTGGAAGAGTTCATGTTTGTCATGCTTGTCTGGCATATGACTCTTAAATCTGTCATGCACGTTACCCAAGCGCTCCGCTTTTCTGTGATGCAGAAGCGCAGTTTGTCTTCATGCAGAATAGGCAACATCTAGGAGCTCAGAAACTTGTCATGCTAAGCCAGCATTTGTAGCCTCATGTCATCATGAGATGCCACCCAACATCACAACTTTCCAGACCCAGACATTTTTACTTCTGATAGACCTTGTTTCCCCGCAGGACGCCGCGGTTCTTGTAGTTCAAGGCAAGGAATATTGTGAGGAAAAATCCCCCCTCCCCATATCGAAAAGGCATGTTTCCGAAAATTTGCGCTGCTGATTTGAGGTCACAAATCGCGCCTGTCTTGCAAGAAGACAAGGGCAAAAGCTTCGCCCCCATTATGGAGGCGATTTGTCATGCTGTTGGGCCTAAAGCGGAGCCGTTTTCCATGCTGAACAACTAGACCGATACGCCCCTGTATAGCCTGGGGATCTGGCCGCGATGCCTTCCTGCAATACAAAGCCGATTTGTGTACACAAATCCCGCATCACAGATTTCCATTTCGATATGGGGTGGGGGGATTTTTCCTTTTGATAAGGAAGTCATCATCCTCACTTCCGTCGCCACAGAGGCAGGGGCAGCAGGACGACGAGGCTGAGCTGCAGGAGCCGCCCATGATGCCGTCAGTTTGGCTATCCCCGCGAGATTAGGCGTATTTGAAGATGCAGTTCTTGTACAGGCACATCGGTAGAGGTGGAACAGCTGCTAGTACAACCACTGCAGAAGTACGGCTACCGCTACTAGCAGCCGCGACATTGTTCTTTCTTTTCTCCGACCTCATTGCGAAAATCAAAACGAGTATTTCTATTTTGTTTTTCACGGCGCTAACAGTACGAAAGTGAATTTTCTTCTACGGAAGAGGTGCTCACTCGCATCACACACTTCTGAACGAGGCTCTAGGCGTACGTCCTTGCAAGTCGTAAGTTTTTATCCGTGTTTTAGTGTTCGTACGCTTGCTTACTAGTAACCAGCAGTGCCCTAGATGATGACGACGACTTGTTTGATCCACCGACAAGAAGCTCTGTTTCCAATGCTCTACAAAGGATGTAGTTGACACGACCACGATTTCTTGACAACAACGCCACGACCCAATGCGTTGACGATGTAATTCACCAGACGACGGACGAGATGTGGAGTAGAAACAAATATTAAAAGCTGCAACTTTACTACGAGGAGTAGAGCGATTCCATTGACAAATGATGTGTTGTCGACAGCCACAACGACCTCCCTTGGCTTGGACTGGCAACTACTCAGCTGCTCCGTTTCGTGATAGATTCACCAGCATCCGGCGACTTCTAAAAGCTACACATAGTATTGGCGTTCAGAGACATAGTGGTGTTGGATGGTTTTCGCAGCGCGAACTCGAACAACATCCTTGAGAGATTATGATTATCAGGAGACGAGAATGAAACCTCCATTCACGACATTTGGATTTCCGGATCCACTCATCATCTACGGCCCTACTTGTGCCTTGCTTTCCTCACACTGCTCGTCAGATTGACTGGGCAATCACGATCAACTGAGGAATCTTTCTACCATTTCGATACATCCCCAAGAGAATTTGAATTCCAATCAGATACTAGGTTCATCTCAATAAAAAACTCTTGTTCATCTCCACTGCGACCGGGTCGTGCTCGTCAGCCGTCAACAGAAACATACCATCCTACATCAGAATTTACACTATAGCGACAGTGAGTACGGAAAATTATTGAAACCTTGTCATTGACATATATCCGTCTCCAGTGCACCAGCAGCTCATGTCTACTGATAGAAGACTTGTTGAAGTTGTGACACAATAGACAGCGCAGTTGTTCTTCATGGGGACATAAGATCAACATTCCACGACATGCGCAAAGGGTCTGTCAAGAACTGAAACTGAAGATATCGTTTTTGAGTTGTGAAGAAAAAGAGGCCCACGAACTAAACATTTTCATTTCATCTCGCCCTAATAGTCGAACCGCATCTGTTCCATACTGGGTTTTGAGACTTGGTGCACCATATTCGCATACTGCCGCCCCTTGCCGACCTGACGAGAATGAACCATTCACAATTTCGAATTCGATTTCTCTTGCACAAGTAGTTCCAAATAGGACCAACCGAGTCACTATATGGATTTCCGCATGACAATACTTAAGTAAGTACCGTCCGATTCAACAAAATTCCTCATCATTATACCCGAAACGGAGCGAAAATTTGCGTCCTCCCTGTTTGGTCGATAATCACCTCCGACTTCGGCATGCCCGGGTCCACCCCACCAGCCGTGCTGAAGCCCATGCCGCCGTTTGGCGAACCCGCCGGCCGGTTGTTGTTCCCGTTGCCTGGTAGTTGATGCTGGGGGTGAGCACCCCCTGGTGCGCCCTGTGTTGCTCCACCCGTCTGCCGCTCCACCTCTACCACCGCCATGCTGCTGGTGTTGGACGTGAAGGGGTACTTTTTCTTCCCAAGCCCGTGCACGAAAAAGCGGCAGTGGTCTAACTCCTTTCGGTTAGACACGGTCGGCGCATTCGCAACTGTAGACCTGTTAGTTGATGGGGGTTCCTTGTCTTTGTCAATGTCATGCAATTATTGCATGTTGTTCTGCAAGATGAAGATGGATCTTTTTCTTCGTTCTCCACAAGCCCAAATAATCTAAATATTTTTACAAGAGACCGCTGAGTGCTGGGAGGTAAAAAGTGAATCACGATGGCACGCTGCGACTTGGGGCTTACGTGGCAATAGCGGAAGTGTCGCGCTTCGTGTTTTCGGAATGGAGGCAGTCCGCCCGTGGTTGGCGTTGCCTCAGGCAATTCAAGCAATGCGACTTGGCTTGCTTGAGGCGGCTGCTGCTTTGTCGGTTCGCCCTGTGCTTCGGCGCACGCGGGGCGAACCATTTTGCGTCGCGTTTTTGCGCGCTTTTTTGCGAATCGCGACGGTATGAAAATTGTTGCAGTCGTCTTTTTGGTGCTCATGTTGAGCCGTTTGCGTGCCCGCGGGCGACGCGTCGCGCTGCGCCATACCGCGCGGATGGCCTTGCTCTTGCCTTGCTCT